CTGAACTGGAAATAGAAATAAAGAATAAAGAACAGTTACTCATTAAAAATCCAACAGATGAAAGAATACGCAGTGCTATAAAATTTTTGAAAGACCAATTTCAAATGCTTATGGCGGAACAAGTTGCAACAAACTTACAATATGCGAAGCATAACACATTTTGTAACGCTAATAAACCGGGCAGATGGTTGGCTTACACATTGAGGAAAAAACAAAGTATACGGACTATTGATAGTATTGATATTGGAGGGAAAGAAATTTTTCAACAAAAATTAATTAAAGAAGCTTTTGTGGACTATTATACCAAACTATATGCCAAAGAGGAGGTGCAGAATGGACTTATAGAAAAATATTTAAACGATAAAAGAGTTACAAAAATTACTGATCAACAAAAGGAAAGAATGAATTATCCTATAACAGAGGAGGAGATAATAGTAGCAATTAAACAGTTAAAAATAGCCAAAGCTCCTGGCACGGATGGTTTGACCGCAGTGTATTATAAAACTTTGCAAGCTGAAATGGTGGGACAACTCAGAGATTTATTTTGTAATATTCAACAAGGGGGTAAAATACCCCCATCATGGACAACTGCTTATATATCTTTGATACCAAAAGAACAAGTCGGTCCTAAAAAACCAGAGAATTATAGACCAATATCTCTTTTGAATACAGATTATAAAATCTATGCGAAAGTATTAGCCAACAGGTTGATGCCAGTAATCCAAAAGGTGATTCATGATGATCAAGCGGGATTTATCGAGGGCAGACACATGAAGGATAATGTAAGGCAAGTAATAGATTTATTGGAATATCTTGAGAAGAATAAACAGATTCCTGCAGTGCTGGTCTTTCTGGATGCAGAGAAGGCCTTTGATAGAGTGGATTGGAATTTTCTATTAAAGACTTTTAAAAAGATGGATTTTGGGGATCAATTTATACAGGCGATTTCAGCAATTTACCAAGAGCAAAAGGCACAGATCATTATTAATGGAAGTTTGACAACAGAGTTTAAAATTGAAAAAGGAACAAGACAGGGATGTCCGTTGTCCCCACTTTTATTTATTCTAACACTAGAAGTCTTGCTAAATACAATACGGGACTCTAATATCTTGAAAGGTATAATGATTAGGCAAGAGGATTACAGATTAAAGGCATTTGCAGATGATCTGGTTGTTACCCTATCACAACCAATGGAATCAATAATCCTGATGAAGGACATTATACAAGACTATGGTAAAGTTTCAGGTTTTAGAGTGAATCCAAAAAAGACTAAAATGATAGCTAAAAACATGACACAAGATCGTAAACATGAGCTTGAAAGAAGGGCAGGTTTTGAGACTGTACCTAAGGTAAAATATCTAGGAGTTCAGGTTGCAGAATCAAACATGAAATTGTTTCAAAATAACTATGAGGTGTTGTGGCGAGAGGTGCAGAAAGACATGGAGACTTGGAAAAAACTGCAGCTGTCTCTACTTGGAAGAATAGCGGCAGTTAAGATGAACATTTTGCCAAGATTTCTTTTTTTGTTTCAAATGATTCCGGTGCTTAAAAGTGATAAACAATTGAAAGTCTGGCAAACTGGACTCAATAAGTTTGTTTGGATGAGAAAAAGCCGAGAGTGAAATTGAAAATTATGCAAGATGTTCCAGAAAGAGGAGGTCTTAAACTTCCAAACCTACAGTTATATTATGATGCAGCAGCTTTAACTTTAACAAGTGATTGGTTTGGAAGTAAAAAGGCTGGAATATTGAATGCAGAAAGTTTTGATCTCGAATTTGGATGGCATGCTTACTTATTTTATGATGACAAAGTTGATAAAGTATTTAAAAGTCATATACTTAGAGACTCTTTGATGAGAGTTTGGAAGAAGCATCGACTCAAATGGGATTATAAAATACCGCTATGGCTGGATCTTGGTCATACTTTGTGGAATACAAATATAATGTCACTCGGGGGGTTTTTATACAAAGAGGTTCTTTTTACAGATGCGGGCAGATGGCAGCTGAAGACATTGCAGACACTGTTGGACGAAGGGATTAATTTAACTTGGTTACAATATAATCAATTACAATTGAGATGGAAAGAGGACCAAAAAACTGGTATTATGTTGCACGAGGAAGAATTGGTTAGACATATAAGAGAGAAAGGTCCAATGCATATCAAAAGGCTTTATAATGTTTTGCTAGAAAGGGACTCAGAAACTGAATTAGTTAAAGACTGTATGATTAAGTGGGCACAAAATTTTGAAGAACCAGTGATGTTGGAAACATGGGAAAAAAATTGGGTTCAGAATGTTAAATTTACACAGTCGCAGAACCTGAGGGAAAATTTCTATAAAATGTTTTATAGATGGCATTTAGATCCCAAAAAGTTGTCATGTATGTACCCTAATGTTCAGCCAAAATGTTGGAGATGTGAATGTTTGGATGCTACGTATTATCATGTTTGGTGGACCTGTAGGAAAGTTAAGGCTTTTTGGATAAAAATTTGGTGGGTCATGCAGAATGTTTTGAAGAAAAAAATTCAATTTTCTCCACAACTGTTTTTATTGGGTATAGTTAAGGGTTTTACATTGGGTGAAACAAAATTGATATTGTATATGATAACAGCAGCAAGATTGTTGATAGGTAAATACTGGAAGAATGAAGCTTTGCCCACTATCGAGGAATGGACTTTGAAGATGGCCAGTTTTGCAGAGATGGCGAAGATTTCAGCATACTTAAAAGATTGTTCACAAGAGACTTATGAATGGGAATGGAAAACGTGGATAGAATATGTTCAGAACAAATATCAAACTAGAAAGTATCAAATAGCTTTTATTTGAAAATAATGTATTAGAAATATTTTAATGTAATGAGGTAAAGAGAAAAATTATACAGGGGAGGGAGGGGTTCAAGTTTACATATAAGTGTCATATTAAGGGTTTTTTTTTGTTTTTGTGTTTTCTTTTTACCAGTTATGAGTATATTATAGGGAAGTCTGGGGGGAGGGGAGGGTCAGGGAGGGTTAGGGAGGTTGGGAAGTTTGGGGGGGGAGGTGGGGGGGGGAAGGGGTGAAAATGTAATTGTAAAACTTTTGCAATAAAAAAAAAAGAAAAAGAAAAACCCCAATTCCATTTTCATAGAGCAAGGTACTTTTACTGAGTATGAACTGAATGCAACCAAAGAAAAGCAAAGTCTGAGGCAATAGGCACAAAAATCCCATATAGAAAACATCCCCAAAACCCTCCCCCCAAGGGTCCAGTCAGGATTATCCAATCCACATCCCCCCAAGGTGTCATGTGGGGTGCAGCTTCAGATGGCTCAATCCTTCTGGTATGTCATGACAGTTGACCTTGACTTATTATCAGGGCGCCTTCCAGCTGCAGAGAAAGCGCTGAGAAAAACTTTCTCCAATTCACTCCTTGTTATGAGACATTTCCACCAGACAGCTCCCCCTCCCTCCGTTAAAATGGCAGCCGAAGCAAGCAAGCAATATAGAGGAGGAGGCTGACACAGGTCCTGCCAGGTGACACTTTACTAGAAGTGATCAAAAGCATGGCAACTTTGCTAGCTCTCACGGAACATGCAGAAATAACTGGAGGCAGATAGGCCTGCAAATAAGCCAGTCCAGTGTCATAAAAGATGTTGTAGTTGAATTGCATCTAAAAATCTATTGGGAGGCAATGCTATTTACAAAGCAGAGGTATTACATGAGTGTACTTAGGCACACCCATAACTATTCACACTGGTGAATTCTCAAAAAATTTACCTTTCCAGGTATTTTCTAGGGCAGGCCTTACTAGAATGCATTGCTATAGTCTAAATGGGAGTTATGGTTAAAATTGAATGAAATATGTAAAGGAAGTTTTATCTATCTATCTATCTATCTATCTATCTATCTATCTATCTATCTATCATCTATTTATAATCTATTTATCATCTTTCACATTTTAAAAGCTCACTTCTTTACATGTTCCAATGACTGCATAGCACCTCAACCATACCATTGGGAGAGTAGTGGGGACAAATAATGAGATGTAGGACTGGTTTCATTATTTTCACCCACTACTCTTCTGTGAATGCTTGTAAATAATAATAAAGTGTTTTCTACCTCCCATTATCAGTACTTTAGAGTTTAATACCACTATTAAGCTGATAACATATAATTCTAATTAAGTTTTCCACTGAAATTCAAATAAACTTTCAACTCCTAAACTTATGTTTATTAGAGCTAGTCAGAAGTGCTCCTGGTTAAGAAACAAGTAAACTAAGGCCAGTCTATCTCCTTGTTCATCTTGGTTTCCTTCCAACCTCTTCTTTCCTCTGTATGGTCTCACACTCTATGCACATTAAATCATATCTTTTTCTTGTACCCTAGCTGCAGATGGATAGCCATTCTGAGAATGTGTTTTTCTGAATTTGGCAAATGTCCTTATAGTGGCCAACTCTGCTATTTTGTACATTGTAAGGATAGGATTGCCAACATGGTAATCCAATACTCTTTAGGAAAGTGACACAGAGAAATTTTTCTAGTAGGATGCAATACTCTAAAATGGTACTCTAAAACTTGTGTTGAAAGTTCAAGAATTTGGCTGAAGCTCCATTTAAGAAAACCTTACAATTTTTCATATATAAATAAATAACCATATTTATACTTACAGTACCTAGTGAGAATATCAATAAAAAGATTATTTACATGGGTAAAACCAGTCTATCATGATTCCAAACACTCTACTTAAAAGTCAGAGAAATAATTACTTGATTTTTATCTGTAGACATATCTGTATATCTTAGATGCAACAATATAAATACCAGGGTGTTTTGTTTTTTTTTACAATTATTTTGTCAGAAAATTCTATGAATCTATTAACTCTTCTACTATCAATGTCCAAATATTAAGACATATTCAATCTGGAATCAACAAGCTCTTTCACAAAGATAAAATTTAACCATACATTGTAAGTCAGATGTAATGAAGCTTATCATGGGTAGCAAACTAAAATAAAAAAAATTACTTACGCCTGTTGATCCCAATATATCTTAATTTTTTCCCACTGGGAAGTAAGCTGAGTCAGCTTTTCCTCAATTTTCATAACTTCACCAGGTGTGGCACTTTTCAGAACTGCAGGCTTCTTGTTCTGAATGATTTCAATTTGATTTGAATATCTCTCTACTGTGTCCTTAATTTTCTACAATTCAAGAGATGGAGGAGAATGAGAAAGAAGGCATACGGATGTTGAATTAGTAAATAAATTTCTACTTCTATAATACTTCCATATTTTGAACAAAAGGAAAAAATAAAATAATTCAATCAATCCATGTTAAAAGAGGAGAGAGAGAAATGAAAAGAATTAAATTGGCATTTGGGAGAATCTTGGATAAGAAAGAAAAAAAATCTGGAAATGAAAGGAAGGATTTTGTTCTTTTTAGTGTACATCATTTAAGAGTCAGAAGGACTAATATTTCAAGTTTGTAGGATACTTGTGGAGTATTTTAAACATTTGAATTTTATTTTTATTGATTTAATAAGTAATTAGCAAATTCTTTTCTCCCCAGATACATTTTCAAAGAAATCATCTCTTGAATTCATAATTCATAATTTGTATTTTATGCTAGTTATCCATGAAAAGCATCATTCTCTTTGACTGAGAAGACCTAGTTTTTAGATGAAGTATAAAAAAACAAAAAAGGGAAAAATACAATAACTGCAGATAAACATGATAGAGAAAGCAGGAAGAACAGAGATTCTGGAATTCTTTTTCATTCATCTACAAAAATGTTTAAAGGAGTAAAATATTGCATCTCTGTGTTACTGTTTTACTGTTCTCCCATTGTGTTCTGTGCAGCACTGGGACAAGCTGCAGATCATCACTTTAAGTCATAACAAGTAACAAGTGAATATGGTTGTTTGATGTAATTTAAAGTAGTTGAATACTTTTAGATACAGTTGGATATGGGTATGTGTCCATACATGTGCATACTTAAAGGAGGTGTATGTGTGTGAATATGAGAGGACCAATTTGGTTTAGTGGATAAGGCATTAAGCTAAAAATTAGGAGACTTTGAGTTCTAGTGTTGTCTTACACTCAAAGCCAGCTGGGTGACCTTGGGCTAGTCATTTTCTCTCAACCCTATCGGCAACGTGCAGCTCTAGAGCTGCATGCGGCTCTTTGGGCCCTCTCCTGTGGCTCCCTGAAGGATAATCCCACCATTGGGTGGCCCCTCCCCTCCCCCTCTCTCCTTGCCTGCCCTTTATTATTTATTTTATTTATTTATTCTCCCGAAGGACTCAGGGTGGTGAACAGCCAAAATCAAAATACATACAATATAAAATTTAAAATAATTTAAAAGCAGAATTAAATCAAATTGGCTTCCCAAAAATTAAAACCCATTACCCTTAAAATAACCCATTAAAATTTTAAGCCAGCCCAGCTTGCTGAAATAGGAAGGTCTTCAAAGCTCGACGGAAGGTCCGGAGATCCGGGATCAGTCGTATTCCTGGGGGTAGCTCGTTCCAGAGGGTGGGTGCCCCCACAGAGAAGGCTCTCCCTCTGGGGGTCATCAGTCGACATTGCTTGACCGATGGCACCCTGAGGAGGCCCTCTCTGTGGGACCGAGTTGGCCGGTGGGAGTTTATAGGTGGCAGAAGGTGGTCTCGTAAATAACCGGGCCCTAAGCCATGGAGCGCTTTAAAGGTGAGAACCAATATCTTGAAGCGCACCCGGAAGACCACCGGAAGCCAGTGCAGCTCGTGCAGGCAAGGTGTCACATGGGAGCGCCATGTCGCCCCCATAATTACCTGCGCGGCCGCATTCTGGACCAGCTGGAGCTTCCGAGTGCTCCTCAAGGGGAGCCCCATGTAGAGAGCATTGCAGTAGTCCAGGCGAGAGGTGACGAGGGCATGAGTGACCGTGCATAGGGAGTCCCGATCCAGAAAGGGACGCAACTGGCGTATCAGGCGAACCTGATAGAAAGCCCCCCTGGCCACAGCCGTCATATGCTCTTCTAAAGACAGCCATGCATCCAGGAGGACATCCAAGTTGCGAGCCCTCTCCGTGGGGGCCAATGCCCTGAGAAGAGAAGGGCGACTGCGGCAGATAAAGACTCATTCCATAGTCCAGAGCAGGAACAAAGCGCCACTCTAGTTGCCTCTTTTTCTGCTGGGGGAGACGTGTGACTTTGCTCTGCGCCGAGACACTGGCTGGGCCACCCGGCTGCAGCCAATGCTGCGTGATATAATGGGCTCCAGGAGGAGGAGGAGGGGACACCATCTCCCCCATTGTTTAAATGCAAGAGCATCAAGCAGCCACAGAGGTGGAGAGAGGAATATGGGGAGACGTGCCCCAGCCGGTGTCTTGGGGCGGAGAAAGTTGCCCATCTCCCCATATTTCTCTCTCCACCTCCGTGGCTGCTTGCTGCTCTTGCATTTAAACTTAGCGCGCTGCACAATGGGGGAGATGGTGTCCCTTCCTCCTCCTCCTGGAGCCCATTACGATGCGGAGCATCAGCTGGGATGGCCCAGCTGGTGTCTCAGGGTGGAGAAAGTCATGCATCTCCCAACAAGGGCCGGAAAAAGAGGCAAGTAGAGGGGCATTTCGCTTCCGCTCTGAAATATGGAGCGAGTCTCCATCCATTTCCACCGCCCTTCTCTTCTCAGGGCAGGTGAGGAGTGAGGAGAGGGGGGGACAGCCAACCGACAGGAAGCCACAGCAGGGGGACAAAAGAGCTTAATTTATCCTGAAATGACTCTTGATTTAAAATTAAATCATGGTAAAAAGCACCCAAAGAAGAAGAAAGAACATCATAAAAAAAACCCCCAACCCTCTCCTGTTTTTGGAAATGATTCCTGCGCGCACGCATGCACACACACACACACACGAGAGAGAGAGGGAGGGAGGGAGAGAGAGAGGGAGAAAGTAGAGAGATGAGAAAGAGAGAGGGGAAAAAGAAAAAGTTATGAGAGAAAGGGAGAAAGATGAGAGAGAGAGCTGAGGGAGAAAGATGAGAAAGAGGGAGAAAGAAAGAGATGAATGAGAAAGATGAGAGAGAGAAAGAGGGAGTAAGATGAGAGAGGGGGAGGGAGAAAGATGAGAGAGAGGGAGAAAGAGATGAGAGGGGAAAGAAGAGAGAGGGAGTGTCAAAGGTGTTCAAGGATCAAGCCCAATAACTCCATCACACAAGCATTTATTTAATTAAAGATCTTTATTCATAACATGTCTCTTCCTTACAGGTGTTGGACTGGAACTGGCTCTGGACCGCATGGCTGGACCTTAAGTACCTGTGGGGCGGAGCTAAGGTAAGGAGAGGTCAATGGGTTAGGGTGGACCCTGGAAGTTAATCTCATCAGCTCCCTGCCCCCTGGCATGGGCATGAGGTCAGGTATTTATATGTGACAAAACCCCCTCTAAATGCCTGATCTGGGTGACAATAGGTGATGTAGGCACATGGGGTTACCTATGAAAGAATGCCCAGTTTGGATGTTAGGTATGCATGTTGTTTGTTTTGTTAGTATGTCAGCTGTCTGTTCTTCAGTATCACAGTGTATGACTTCTATGAACCCAATGTTAGAAAACTGCCTGACATGCTTATGTTTAATGTCGATGTGTCTCAACTTCTGACCCACTGCATCAGCTCTTGATATTTCAATTATTGTCCTCATGGATAGTGATTGGGTAGGTAGGTTCGGCCCAAACGTTGGTGAGTAGATCGTCAAACCAGACCAGGTTGTTGGCTGCTTTAGATAGGCATATGTACTTGGCTTCTGTTGTAGAGGTGGCTACCAAGTTCTGCTTACCCGTGTACCAATGTACTGGGCTGTTGTTGAGAAAGAACATGTATCCTGATGTGCTCTTTCTACTTTTCACATCTCCAGCCCAATCAGCGTCAGCGTAACAAGTTAGTGTGGGTTTTGTGGATATCTCTGGTTCCAAAGATAGGTAAGCATCAGCGCTGTGTTTCAGATACCTCAGTACTTTTTTGATAGCCTCCCAATGGTACATGGTGGGGTTACCTACATGTCGGGATAGTAAGTTGACTGGCAAGGCGATGTTGGGTCTTGTCCAGTTCACACTGTACAGTAATGATCCTATGGTGGATCTATAAAGTGTATTGTCCTTGAACGCTTCCGCTTCATTATACATATCCTTTAAAAAGTCCGGTTGCATTGGGGTCTCACAAGGTTTGGCATTAATCATGTTGCATTTCTGTAAGAGTTCTAGTATTTTGTCCCTTTGTGATAGCCGGAAGCCCTTGTTGGTTTTTGTGATCTGTACCCCTAAGTATTTGTCGACTTTACCTAATATTTTCAGTGAAAAGTGTTTTCCCAACTCATCAGCAAAATTATTGCATTTGCTGGCCTGATCACTAATGTACAATATATCGTCCACGTATACTAGAACGTATTCAATGGAATCATCTACTTTCTTAATGAAGAAGCAGTTGTCCGCTGTTGTAGCTGAGAACCCCATAGACCTCAAGATTTTGGATAAACACTCGTACCACCATTTCCCTGACTGTTTCAGTCCGTACAAGCTTCTGTTTAGGATCCAGGTTTCTCCCTTTGTTGTGTTTCTGCTGGGGGGAGCTCTGACATAAATTTCCTTATCGAGCTCAGCGTGTAGGTAAGCAGTTTGTACATCGAATTGGTGAACTTCTAGGCCTAGGATGGACGCTATCACCAGGGCGCACTTTACACTCTCAGCCCTGACTCGGGGGGAGTTTGTCTCTGTGTAGTCTTCTGGGTATTTTTGTGCGAACCCCTGCGCTACTAGCCTGGCTTTATATAAGACTTTGTCATTCTCCAATGCCTTAATCTTGTAAACCCACTTGGTGCCTATGGGGGTCTTATCCCTTGGGACTTCGGACGGGGTGTATACATTTAGCTCCCTGAGACTATTCTTCTCCCGCTCCATGGCCTGTTCCCATTTAGATCTTTCCTCCTCCGGTAGCCTTAACACGTCCGCATAGGTGTTGGGGGTTAGTTGATTAGTGTGCATAGATAGGACATAGTCCTCTAGTTTCTTTGGTGCCTTACCCCTGTTCGCCCTAATTGGCATGGCTGGTGGTGTCTCTGTATCATGTAAGTACCTGGCCTCCTTCTCTGTGAGTGAGTCCAGCTTTATGTTTCGGTGGTTCTCTTTCCACTCTCTGACTTGTATCCCCTGACTCTTTGGTTTGGCCTTTTCCTGTCCTATGTCCCCTTCTGTAGTGTGTTCTGCCCCCTCTAGGCTATTGTTGGGTCTCTCCCTGCTGGAAAATACCTCATTGAGATGTATTTTAGACCAATTGGCATTCTCATGGAAAACAGCTGTTCGGGATAGTACGAATTTGTTGTTACTATCTATAAATCTGAATTCCTTGGTTCCCGGTTCATACCCCACGAACCTTAATCTTCTAGATACTTTGTCTCCCTTGCGTCGTAATTGCCTGGGAATGTGTACATCAGCTGTAACCCCGAATACGTGTAGGTGCGCTACCTGTGGCTTTCTCTTGTACATTAACTCATATGGAGTTTTGTCTAATACGCTGGACCATAGCCTGTTTAATGTGTAATTTGAGTATATGAGTGCTTCTGACCAAAAGTGTTGCCCTAGCCCCGCATCCTCTAGGGCGCACCTCATCATGGTCTGCAGTGTTCCATTTTTTTGTTCTATGGTGCCATTCTGGAAGGTGGAGAACAGCGAAGATGTGTAATGTAATACCCCACGTGTTTTTAACCAGTGTGAGAAATCGCTTGATAGAAATTCAGACCCGCGATAATCTGTCATTATCTGTTTGATCCTAGTGTTGTGTTACGTCTCTACCCTTGCATAAAATTCCTTGAATTTTTGGAATGCTTCATTTTTATGTTTTAGAGTGTACACAAACCCATAACAACTGAAGTTGTCAACTATGGTCAGGAAAAATCTCTTCTTGTATTTAATGGATGGCTTTAGTAGTCCCACTAGGTCCATATGTACGAGTTGAAAAATGGAATCGGTGGTGCGTACCGATTTTTTTGGCCTGGGTTTTGTCTTGAGTTTTGAGCATTTGCATACAGAACACTCGAGATAGTTCTCACAGTTTTTTAATTTTATGCCTTCGGAACAGTTAATCATTTTCTGTATAACTGGAAAGCATGCACAATTGTCATGTACTGACTTCCCTATTGATGGTTTCCTCCTATCAGATGACTCATGACCACTTGGGTCATCGGGTGTGTGTTCGTGGCTAACCCCCTCTATTTCCTTACTGTTTCCCCCTTTGTCTCCGCTAGCTGTAGTGTCTGGCTTGGTCTTGAGATTGGCGTTCACCCTTGGGTGGATGTCGCTGTCTGGATGGAAGTATGGTAGGCCTCCCCTAACTACGGTCCTTCCTATACTTTTGCCTCCCCTGGTTATGTGTACTTCTCCTTTCTTGAATGTAACCTCAATGTTGTTGTCTCTGCTTAGCTTCAAAGTGGCGAGTATGTTATATGGTATATTTGGTACGAGTAGTACCCCCTCTATTACTCCTATCCCTGGCACGTACGTGTTCCCCTTCCCTGTTACCTGAACATTATTTTGGTTTGCCACTTTTATTATGAAGCTCTCCTTGGTGAATGAGGTGAGTGATTTTTTTTTTATTGCAAAAGTTTTACAATTACATTTTCACCCCATTTCCCCCCCCCCAACCCACCCCAGGCTCCCCAGCCTAACCCTCCCAACCCCCCCTAGTGATTTTTGATCGTAGGTGGTATGATTGGTGGCCCCTGAATCTAACAGCCATGTGCCCTCTTTCTTGCCCTGGTCAGTGAGGTGTTCCTGGTCCCCCAGTCCATACAGTGACCCAGTTTGGCTCTCTCTGGAACTATCCCGGTGTCCTCTTCTATCTCTGGGATTGGGGGAATCTCTACATCTGTGTCTGTTGTCGGGTGAATGTCTGTCAGGAAACGTTGCATTATGTTCTGGCCTATCCCTACGATGTGTTTGATCCCTGTCCCTCATATTTCTAGGACAATCCCTCTTATAGTGATTTCTAGAACCGCACAGGAAACACTCGGTCATATTGTGGCCCCTGCTCTGGAATTCAATTGTTTTTGCTGGTCTCTGTTCCCTGCGGCTTAGTGAACGGTCCCTCCTTAGGGTATCCTCAGCAATGAGTTTGTTGGTTAATGTCTCTAATGTAAGTCTTTCTAGGCTGAGACTATCTAATTGCGTAATGAAACTGTCCCAGCTGGAGTCCAGTGAATTGATAATGATACTGATCATGCTTCCCTCACTTATGATTTTCCCCCTCTGTGTTAGTTCAGCTCTAGTGGCATTTAATTAACCCATTATAAATGGGTCTGGTGGCTCAGCAGACTGATAGCATTGTGATTAACACCAGCTGTCTGCAATTACTGTAAGTTTGAATCTCACCAGGCTCAAGGTTGACTCAGCCTTCCATCCTTTCTAAGGTAGGCAAATTGAGGACCCAGTTTGTGGGGGCAATAAGCTGACTTTGTATAAATATACAAAAGTATGAAAGCTATTGCTTAACGCATTGTAAGCTGCCCTGAGTCTCTGGAGAAGGGCGGCATATAAATCAAAAAAAAAAATTAACGTTAATAGGTGTTCACTCATGGAGGCCCCTGCCTTGAGCCTGGCTGAGTGGAACTCCCTAGAGATTCTAGTGGTAGTTGCTACGCTCTTGCTGTAGAATAAGCTGTGCATTTTGTGTATCACCTCTGAGACTGTTAGGTGGAGGCTAATGCTGGGGGAAATACTGGGGGAAATACTGGCAATTAATATGTAATACGCCTTATGGTGCATACAATCTAAATCAAAAGTCCATGGTTTCTCAGGGGGATCAGTAATCAGAAACAACAAATTTTCCTTTAGGAGGATGACTTGGAGTTGCTGGTTCCACTCCAAGAAATTATTCCCATCTAATCTCAGCTTTGGAAAGTCATTTGGCAATGTCCCTGAATTGTAAGTTAAATTACTTACAGGATGTCACTGTCCATGGTTTTGCGCATAAGGGAACTTGCAATAAGGCAGGGGGATGATTGTTGTGAGTCTGTACTGACTTACTTCTATGTTCTTGTACTGACTTGCTTCTATGTTCCTTTCTCCTTTTTTTACAGATGGATTCTGCGCATGCTCGGGTTCCATTCTTGTCCAGCAGCTATGGAGAAAGGAGCTCGTTCCTGCAGCTCCCAGGTGGAGGCCCCATTCATCCAGATGGGCCTTTGGCTCATCCTTGGGTGGCCTCGTGTGGTCGAAGGGTCCTCGGATCGTCGTCTGGATTGCCGGAAAGCTGTGTGAAGCCCAGCGGTCCTGCGGAAGACGCGTGCTGGTGTGGATGTCTCGGCCTGGTGCGGAGGCTGTGTCCTGGGATCGGGCCGAGTCCCACGCCTGCTGATGGTTCCGTGAGCCTCGGTCCTGGTCGTTGGTCCGGTGAGTAGTCCCATCGCCCTTGGTACTCCGTTGCTGGTCTCAGTGCAGGCATGGGGGGGTCCCCTGTGGGTCGCAGCTGGTGCTGGGCCCACGTCATGGTGGTCGCTCGCCCAGGGTGGGCGTCGATGCCGGTTTCTTTTGGGTCGGTGGTCCCTCTGGGCCTCTCTGGGGTGCCGGAGTATACGTCCGGTAGTCTTATCTTGTCCCCGAAGGCCGCGGTTAGTAGCCTTATGGCTTGATCGATCTCGAGCTCGGTAGGCGAGCTCGTGGGCTTTGGTTTTGGGTCATCCCAGTTACCGCCATAGTTCTGGGTGGTCGCTTTGGTGTAGGCCTGATTCCCGCCATGAGATTTGAATCTCGGGAATCTATTGGTGGTTGGTCGGCCATCTTTGGTGACATCACCATCCAAGATGGCTGCCGCGAAAAGGGCACGAATTCTTTTTCGGCCTTTCAGTGGGTCTCTGGCAGGGGCAATCGTCTCTTACCATGTCTTCAGTTGCGTAGTCTGGCTCGGCCTCATCTTCCTCAGTCGTTGCTCTGCAATCCTCAACTAGGCTCCGGAGTTCTGCGATGAGGTCCATGTTGGTCGGGGCTGAGTTTATTAGCTCGAGGAGTTTCCTTTTGAGGTCGCTCTCCTCGCATGCTGTGTTTTTGGATTTGTTTTCTTCCTCATTAGATCTGGTTGGGGTGTCTGGGTTGGAAGGCTGGTCACTCACCTCTGGCATCTCTCCTTGCATGGTTCCCGCCGACAGTAGTTGCTCTGCCATCTTCTGCGTGAATGCCCTGGTATTCATTCTGCTCATTGCTCCTGTCGGCTTGGAGTTCCTTGGCATATCCTGGAGTGGTTTGGGCTAATTAACCATCCTCTGCTACCATTTTGTCAACAGTGTTCAAGGATCAAGCCCAATAACTCCATCACACAAGCATTTATTTAATTAAAGATCTTTATTCATAACATGTCTCTTCCTTACAGGTATTGGACTGGAACTGGCTCTGGACCGCATGGCTGGACCTTAAGTACCTGTGGGGCAGAGCTAAGGTAAGGAGGGGTCAATGGGTTAGGGTGGACCCTGGAAGTTAATCTCATCAGCTCCCTGCCCCATGGCACGGGCATGAGGTCAGGTATTTATATGTGTCAGGGAGAAAGAAAGAGGGAGGGAGAGAAAGAGATGAGAAAGTGTGAAAGGGAGAAAGAGAGAGGGAGGGAGAAATATAGGGGGAGAGAGAGAGAGAAAGACCTGTTTGAAAGAAAATACCTGGAGCCACAAAACCTGGGTAGGCGTGGCTGGGGGTGTCATGTGACTGGGTGGGAGTGAGTGATGTCGAGTTGGCCACGCCCACCCAGGTTTTGTGGCTCCCAGTGTTTTGTTTTCTGTGGGAAACGGGCCCAAGTGGCTCTTTGAGTGTTTAAGGTTGCAGACCCCTGATTTAGCCAAACATATTTTATGCCTAGTTTTGAAGAGATTTGAAATGGTGCAAAATAGTAAAACACATTTGAGTTTTGTAAAATAATGTTTCGTCACTTCATTTACTCAATTAAAAAATGTGCTTTTTAATTTTTTTAGAATGAAAATATCCAACTTTTACTGTAAGTAGCTGAACACATTATTTAAATGGCTTGATTTCTTACCTTGAGATCATCTTCTTTTCTAACAAGATTTTCATAGTCCTTTCCCTGAAGGGTGGGAGAATTAAGAAAGTCTTCCAAGGTGGACAAAGCTTGTAGAAGTTGTTGGATCTCTGCCAGGTATGTAGAAGACACATAAGAAATTTCCATTGGCATACCTTCAGTCATCAGTACAGTAGTCTCCTCATGAACAGTTTGCTAGTACAGATATACAACAGAAATCTTTCTTTAGATTGATTATATAAGAGCATATTTTTACAAAGCAAATCTGTATCAAGGTTTATGTAATGCACAATTGTGTCATTGTTCCTTTTTAATAGTCTATATATAAGCATTCCTAATATTCCACATATAATCATCCAAATTAATTTATTTAAATTCAAGTTTTTATGCCTCTTATTCATATCTTGGATATGTGTCTGCATAAAGAACAATTGCAAAATAGTATTAGTCATGGTCCCAGGATTATGAAAATGAAACAGTTTGAGGCTTCACATTTTGCCCATTAAAAAAAAAGTTAGATAGAAAACATGTCAAGTAAAAATGTACTTTTTGTGTATAGAGATGTGCAGTGAAGGTTGAAGATGGATGATCACTTAAACATAAATCAGCAGGGTACGGCAGCAGCCAAATATGTTAATACAATCCTTGTTTGTATAAACAGAGGAATAGAATCAAAATCATGTGAAGTTTTAATACTGCTTTATAAATTCTTAGTAAGACCACAACTGGAATACTACATCCAGTTTTGGGCACCACATTACAAAAAAAGATGTTGAGACTTTGGAAAAAGTGCAATGAACAGCAACTAAGATGATTAAAGGCCTGGAAACAAAAACATATGAAGAATGATTGCAGAAATTAGGTATGGCTAGTCTAGAGAAAAGAAGGACTAAGGGTGACATGATAACAGTTTGAGGGGCTGCCTCAAAGGGGGGGGGGGCAACTTATTTTCTAAAGCACCAGAAGGCAAGACAAGAAACAATGGATGGAAACTAATCAAAGAGAAAGCAACCTAGAATTAAGGAGAAAATTCCTAACGTTGAGAACAATTAACCTGGAACAGCTTGCCTTCAGAAGTTGTGGGTGCTTTGTCACTGGAGGTTATTAAGAAAAGACCGGACAACCACCTGTCTGAAATGTATAGGCAGTGGTGAAAACCTCTGCAGTTGCCACCAGTTCGCTGCCCGCACATGTATGGTGTGCACCAAATGCGTGCTGCATGCATGCACAGTGCACACCAAATGCATGCTGTGCACACATGCAAATGTGTGCCAAATGCATACTGTTCACACATGCATGCACAGTGTGCACCAAACACGCACTTCACATGGAAAAAGGAGGTAAGTAGAGCACCAGGGGGGGAAGGGGGAACAGCTGTGCTGCGTGATTTAGATTTGCTAGAAAGCAGGTGGCTCAGTAGCTAAGATGCTGAGCTTTTCAATTGAAAGGTCAGCAGTTCAGCGGTTCAAATTCCTAGTGCTGTGTAATGGGGTGAGCTCCTGTTACTTGTCCCAGCTTCTGCCAACCTATCAGTTCGAAAGCATGTAAAAAATGCAAGTAGAAAAATAGGGACCACCTTTGGTGGGAAGGTAACAACGTTCTGTGTGCCTTTGGCATTTAGTCATGCCGGCCACATGACCATGGAGACGTCTTCAGACAGCGCTGGCTCTTTGGCTTTGAAACGGAGATGAGCACCACCCCCTAGAGTCGGGAACGACGAGCACATATGTATCAGGAAAACCTTTAGCGAATATAAATTGCATGGCACAGCTGATCATCGGAAATACCAGTTCAGACGAACCGATAGCTTATTTTTATTACTGGTTCACCCGAACCGGTAGCTTTTATTACTACCAGTTCTTCTGAACTGGTGCAAACCGGTAGCATTTCACCCCTGGGTATAGGGTCTCCTGCTTGAGCAGAGGGTTGGTCTAGAAGACCTCCAAGGTCCTTTCCAGCTCTATTTTGATTCATTGGTAGGGAGGATGTGCAAGGGTACATGAGAAGAATGACATGGGTCAGGGAATGTTGGGAGGGTTTATGAGGCTCTGTGAGGATGCACAAGAATCACAGTGCAAGTCAGAGAGGGTTGAGGATGCATGAGGGTGCAAGAGATAAGAGCAGTGGTGCAGATTGGGAATGGTGGGGTGTGCAAGGATGCAAGGGAATGTACAAAAGGCATGATGCAGATGAAGGAGGGTGCATAGGAGTGTGAGAAGTGCATAAGAGATGCCATGCCGGTTTGCAAGGGTGTGATATAGATCAGGAAAGGTTTGCAGAGGTGCAACATGGATCAATGAGGATGTGTGGGGATGTGCAAGTACCAGCATGGTATGAAAGCAGTGGGGTTGGGGAATGTTCCATGGGTAAGGAAGTCTTGTAACCTTGACTGCCAGCTTCCCAACTGACTTTTTCAGAAATCCAGCAAAGAAGAATTGAAAATGGCAATCACATGATCACAGGATGCTTGGCAAGCAGTCATAAGTGTGAACAGATTGCCAAGCATCAAATTGCCATCACATGACCATGGGGGCGCTGGAATGGCCAGAACTCCAGAACTCCATTTGTTCAGTGTCATTGTAACTTGAAATGGTTGCTGATTGAATGGTTGTAAATTGAGGAGTACTTGTAAATGAATTCCCTGTTTTCTTCTAAATCCCTTTCCACTTAGCTGGTACAGCAGCCAGGAACAGTCTTGTTCCTGCTATTGTTGGGTTAAACTTGAATGTATACTATCATGTCTAGTATATTACAAAGTTTCCTTAATTCTTTGTTCTGGAAATGTTAAGAGTTTATAAGACTGAACTTTTGTGTTGTTATTATTTTTCAGGCAACTAATTCAAAAATGTGAGTTGGCATGCATTACTGTGCTTCACATACTATTGCTGTAAGTCATATTGTAATTGTATATATGTTTCAATTACTGTAAATATAAATATTACTTATAAAATGTTGCTTTGGATATTTGTGTATTTGTACTTTGTACACATCTTTGTTTCTCATAGATGTTGAACTTCACAAGGCATTTAAAATATAAAGCTTTTACACTAGTTTGGATTGATTTCTTGACATTTGGGCTACATTCTTTGGATACTTTGGTGAATTGGAAATATCAGGAGACATCTACGAATGTAAAAACTTTATACTGGTTTTGTTAATTTGTAGAGCATTGTTTTACCCTCTGTCTAACATTGCATTTCAATACTTGCAAAAGCTGTTCTTTATTCATGTAGAAAGAAGGTGAGATGGTACTCTGTACTTACTGGCTTCATAGGTTGAAAGCAAGTTAAATATCCTTAATTTTGAACACATAAAAAAAAAAACCTCATAGGAATGTAAAGAATGTAGGCTCACACCAAGGCTCATTTAAAGATCACAAATTATTTTTCTGTTATAGAAAGAACCATGGCTGATTCTTACAAGAGGACAACCCAGGACATTCACCTTTTGGGCAATTTCCAAAGTGAGTGTAATCCATTGCTTAGTAAACTCCACACTGAATAGTAAGGTAAATTGCAATGTAAAAACATCATCAATTCCTAATAGATCTGTAGGTGAAGCTTTTTACACTAAGTTACTTTTAAAGTCTCTACTTCAGTTCCACTTGGTGGATATTAATTTTCTCATGTAAAATGGACCAGGTTGGTAAATCTGTTTTAGAAATAGCAAATCTGTTCAATTTCAGAAGATATGTTTACTAATTGCATCAGCAAAAGTGAACAATTCTATTCTTTCATTGTATGAGAAGAGCTTATTTAAACTTCCTATCAAAGAACCATTTCACCAAATATAAGCAATTCTCACTGTTGTCTAGTCTAAATTTTTAAGAACCATGAATATGTGAATGTGAAGAAATGACTCAATGCAGTATACTAGGCTTAAAGATAAAAAGCCCACTTTAGTTTCCCCTCAGGTACTGTCACAGTATAAAAGACAGTATCAATTTTCTGCTAGAAAATAGAGAGTCACAATCAAAAAATGGCATGGCAACAACTGATTGTAGCAGCCAGAACAAACATGTTTATCACCTTTTGAAAATGTATTGCTAAATGCCTGAGGCATGGCCCCTCTCACATGAATTATCACATCTCAGGGGAATTGTGAGAGTTTTATGTAGGTCAGGAATTACTGCACTAAAGAGGAGATGAATGATGAGCCTTACTTGTCTGTGGTTCCTTGTTACAATTTCCTAGATATCGAAATTAATTAAGTAACTGCACCTTGAATAATACTAATACTATATGACTATATTTAACCTGAGGTTATCAGGTGTAACTTGGTATAGTAGAAACCAATCTTACTTTTATGGATTCACCCATATGCCAATTTTGCCTATTTTGGGGGGGAGGAAAAATACATGTCATGTCCTGGTTAACTGTCAGCATTGTAAGAATAAGTATCAAGGTTTACTTTAGACTTCAGGAACTCTGAAAAAAAAAAAAGACTTGGTAAATTTACTATTATATTACTAGTTTAAAAATATGCCCCAAAATTCATTTCCTGTATGCAACTTTTGATATCTAAGGAAAAACTTAGGAACAAGCAAAATGCCTTATTATCTCAACCTGTCTGATCTCATGCATTAATTGTATAATATTTTGAGAGTCCAGGACTCCAGTTAAACAGGCCAGGGGAGGCCTCTGGAGGCCTGAACGGGGCTTCTTCTGCCCCTCGGAAGCTCCATTTTGGCTTGCAATGTTCAGGATGAATGTTGTAGACCCTCTGTGGTTGTTTGTAAGGGTGAACAACTGCCACAGTGCTGCAAGATTCATAGTTTTGGGCCTTGTTTGAAAACACTAGGGGGTGCTGATCGTGTAACTTCGAACATTCACTAAGGGAATGCTCGTAACCCGGGGATTATCTGTACTTCCTACTCCACCTTTACCTTCCATTCTCTCCTTGTAACTCCGCAATATATCAATATGGGTCATTTTTGAAAGAATAACAATGATTGAAACAGTGAACCTTTAATGAATTAAAAAAAAACAACTTGAAAAAAAATACATGAAGCAAATCCTTTCCTTTCCTTTCCTTTCCTTTCCTTTCCTTTCCTTTCCTTTCCTTTCCTTTCCCCTTCCCCTTCCCCTTCCCCTTCCCTTATTCTCCAATTTATTAAAGAAAGCAGCACCTGTCTCTCGTTTATTTTCAAAATAATGAAAAGGAATCTTATCAGTTTATTAACCTTAAACATATTTTATTATATTTTATTGTTTATTTATTGGTATTTTATACACTTTATACATCCTAATTATTGACTAGCACAAGGACTCTTACATAAATACTGTGGACATATTTTCTAAAGCTGTTTGTTCCAAATAAAATTCATCTTAAAATGAGCACATAATTCCATAAAACCATATATAATTAATAGTTCCTCACAACATCCCTGTGAGGTAGAGGATTTGTATTTATTAGTTGTACAAATTAAAAACTTGTACAGATAACAGATTAAGCAACTCTTTGTAGTACAATTTTGTTTTACTCATTTGTTGTTAAATATAATATTTGAAGTGTGTGGCTTTTTGTAAAAAGCAGAGAATAACATGTATGTTTCCTTCCTATTAAGTTGAAAAGAACCTATGTTATAGAAATAATACAATAAAGAATCCTTATTTTTTTTCTAAATATATCTGAACATCAAGAATAAATAAAAGCTAATTAGATTGTGCATGGGATGACAGATTGAAAAATAAATATTTCTCAGTTTGTACATGTTAATTGAATGCAATAAATATATGGCAAGCTGATAGCTTTAAACTGGTAATGTTATGAATAAAATGAGGCAACAAAAACAAGATTCTTTTTCCTTTAATGCTAATACGTTGTTGATTGAACCACTTCCTGTTTTATTTTAAGGGCATTTACTAGAGAAAAATCATATAAAATGAAAACTATATTATATTGTAAATAAAAGGGATCTGAATTGCTGGCCAGATTCTCTATTTCAGATACATCATTGGGAATTCTTAATGTTAGTAGAGTTTTGTTAGTAGTAGTATTTGCAAACATAAATGTTTTCGAGGAACAACTCACAATTTGTGCATAGTTGAGTCTTCGAAACTGAGCAAATTTGCTCTCAATATCATGCCAGCGCTTGCTGAGCTGTATCTGGGTTGGTTCCACTGCTTTTGCAGCCCCATTCTTAGACAAGTGGTCAGCTTGCCTCTGTACCACATTCAGCTCTTCCTTCTTCTTCTCCAGTTCTCGATCAATTTCCTATTGAGCAAAACCAATACAGGGTCCAGGACAATTAGCTAACTAAATCATCAGTTCCTAAGAATTAGCAAAATACTTTTGTAGAGATATTGTTAAAAAAGATGAAAAAGAAAAAATATTATTTTAAAACCTGAGTTAACATATAAACAAAAGAAATATAAAGAGCTCTGGATTATACAGCTCATTGATTTTAGGTATTTGAGTCCATATATGCTGGAAATGTGACATCATAGGCCAAAATATTAATTGGCTAATTATCGCTAGCACTGTGTGATAACTGGAAAGATTACCATAATGCTGGAATCACATACTAAATATCCATAGTAATTGTCAATTAGATGGCTAGATTTTTTTTAAAAAAATACTATTGGAGAGAACATAACAAAGAATAAAGCAAAAGAAGACAATGAAAAATAAACAAGACAATTTTTGACAATGTATAAACAAATCTTTAGAATTTTGACCATGATTTATGAATATGTTCTGATGAAAATGAGTGTGCTGCTAATATGAAAAAGAGTTCAGCCATGTACCGATAAAATCATTTGTTCATCTGGAATAAAGATAAAAAAGTCAATTATTTTTTCTTGGAAAGTATTTGAAGATGGCACATTCTACATATATATTCACCTAGATACAAAAAGTTTCAACAAACATCATCTCAGTCATTTAAATAATATTAAGTGATGAGCTACTATTATTTATATTAATTACTCTAGCTAGACAACAGAAAAACACGTTTTGTTTCCATAAACAAATGCAATACTCTATAGGAAATGATATTACCTTTAGTTTATGTTCATCTATGGGATCTGACAGAACCGACATTTTTTTTTCTATGTCATCCAGGAACTTCATTAAATCATCTGCCTGCTTCTTATATTGATACCACTGATGTGAAATCTCCAAAGCTTTTTTCCTTCTTTGCGATCTCATATCCTGTTTGCAGTACATATATTTGTTATAAAAAGTAATATTTAAATGGTTTATAAGTAAATACTGTATGCACTATGGAATGGAGTAAAATTGTGGATAGGTTATTTTTAAAAATTATTGTGAATTATAATAATTATAATTATGAATGCAAATTTATACTTTTAAATAAACCAAAATATTTTCTTACTTCTCTATACTTATAATGTACAGAGAAATGTATTATGGAACACAAACTTCACACATTTAAAAAGCTAAAATTAGCAGCCTAAAATTTTAATCAGAAATATTAACAGGCAGATTTATACCACAATGAATTTCCCAAATGCTAGCATTTTATGCAAGAGATACTTATATAAATTTAACTGCAAAATGTTTTTATTTTAAATTATAACCTGCTAATAGACGGAAATCCAAAGTGTACTTTAATGTGCACATATTGCTCTCATTCAAATTTTTAATTTTAGACATTCCAAAGTTTACTAAAGAGAAAGAAAAGAAAATTTATGTGAAGTGGAGATACTTTGCTTGTCCTTCTTTAAATGCAACTCTGGGTTTTGAATGACTTTTGAGTATAAAATAACCTGAAACATTTAGTTTAATTATTTCAGAAACTGCCTCTCCGGTTAAGCCTTGTTACATTTTAAAAGCTAATGGTTCTAGACCAGTGATGGCTAACCTTTTTGCCGTCGCATGCTAAAAGCGGGGGGAGCATGGGGGGGATCGTGGGTGCATGTGCCCACATCCATAACATCCCTCCCGTGCATGCACATGTGACCCCCCCCCATTCCTCCTGCTTTTGGCACGTGATGGCACAGTGGGCCCGGTAGGCCCGTTTTTCCCCCTCCCCAGGCTCCAGAGGTTTTCTAGGAGTTTGGGGAAGGCAAAAACAGCCTTCCCCATCCCCCCCCGAGGCCTTCCGGAGGCCGGAAACAGCCAGTTTCCCGACTTCCGGTGGGACCGGAAAGCCTGAAAATCAGTTGGCCGGTGCGCGCATGCGCACTGGAGCTGAGCTAGGGCAACACTCGCGTGCCCACCAATATGGCTCCACGTGCCGCCTGTGGCACCCGTGCCATAGGTTCGCCATCACGGTTCTAGACAGTATGCCCAGATTTTCTGTTGCCTGAGCTTCTTCGGAGTTTTTTTTTTTTTTTCTTTGCTGGGGCTTTACTTTCTTAAAGGGGGATGTGTTTTTTAAGCTTTTTACACTGCTTTAGTGGCTCCTGGCACTATTCTTTTGCGGTGTACTTCCAAGAGGCAGGATGCAAGCTTGGCACTGATTATTTTTACTATTTTTCTGGTGGCATGTGATCTTTCCTTAAATCTAGATGATTTCCTTAGGATATCTTGTGAGGTGAGTGAGACCATCTGGTATCTTTAAGTGGTACAAGGGATCAGGTAGGATTGCTGCTGCTGTACCAGCCTCCCTGCTGCGTGGCAGCTTCCCTACCTGGTCTCCTGGACCTCATCGCAGGGCTGGCAGTGGAATTCAAAAGGCTTATAGTTCTGGGGGATTTCAACATGCCATCCCTGGGGTCGGGGTTGGAGGTAGCTCGAGATTTCATGGAAACCATGACTTTCATGGGCCTGTCCCAGGTCATCCAGGGCCCAACTAGGAATAGTGGTCATACACCCAATTTGGTGTTCTTATCGGAGCAGTGCCTATGTGACCTGGAATTGGTGGACCTGTCCTTGGTCCCCTTGTCACGGTTGGATCACAGTCAGGTGGCAATGAGTTTCTCAAGAGCTGTACCCCCTGCAGGGAGGCAGGACCTATTAGATTGGTCCGCCCCATTGACTAATGGACCTGGATGGGTTTAGAAGGAGCTGGGGGTTATAACTGCAGATCTACTGTGCAGTTCAGCTGAGCTCTTAGTCACTGTTTGGAATAGGAAGATGACTGAGGCTCTGGATAGGATTGCACCCATGCAACCTCTCCTCACCCATAGACCTTGCTGTGCCCCATGGTATACAGAGGAACTGAGAGGGATGAAACTCATGAGGAGATGTCTAGAGCGCCGCTGGTGGAAGACAGGATGAACTTGATCGAACATGGGTAAGAGCTGCTACTACAGCCTACCTCATGGTGATTCGTGTGGCAAAGTGTGAATAATTGCGTCTGCAGATAATCACCCAGCAACTCTCTTTAAAGTGACCCTTCTCCTGGGGAAGGAGGAGATTGAGGTCCACCTGAAGGGACGAGCTGAGGAGTTTGAAGATTTTCTGGAAGAAAAAATCGCTCGACTTCGTTCCCAGTTAGATCCCAGCATGGTTGCTGGTGCAATGGAACTCCTGAGGCAGGTTTTTGCCCTGTCATCTGGGTACAGTTTGACCCTGTTGCTTCCGAGGAAGTGGACAGGATCCTAAGGAGTATGTGCGCAAGCACATGTTTATTAGACCCATGTCTCTCCTGGCTTGTGAAAGCTTCCCAGAAGGTGACAGGCAGGTGGATCTGGTGGTAAGTAATACTTCCTTAAAGGATGGGGCAGTGCCCCAGCACTCTAAGGAGACTGTGGTCCGCCCTCTTCTTGAGAGGCCATCCCTGGACTCCACCTAGTTGGATAATTTCCGACCTGTCTCCAATTTTCCTTTTTTGGGGAAGGTTGTTGAGAAGGTGGTTGTGTGGCAGCTCCAGAGATTTCTGGATGAAATGGATTATCTCAACCCCTACCAGTCAGGATTAAGCCTGGATTTGGGACAGAAAGGGCATTGGTTGCACTTTTGGATGATCTCTGGAAGGAGCGGGATGGGGGTACTGCATCCATCCTTGACCTCTCGACAGCTTATACCATCGATCATGGTCTTCTCATGGAATGGCTTTGGGGGATGGGAGCGGGAGGCCTTGTGCTATCCTGATTCACTTCCTTCCTCTGCGGCCGCTCTCAGTCAGTGCTGATAGGAGGGGAGAGATCCAGCCCTTGCCAACTGCTATGCAGGGTGCCACAGGGCTCGGTACTCTCTCCACTCCTGTTCAACATTTATATGAAGCCACTGGATGAGATTATCTGTCACCATGGACTGAGGTATCACCAATATTGTTAGGATATGGTTTGACCCTAACAAGTTGTCCAGGCAATATATGTGTTCTGTAACTTTAATATGAATATGTATTGTGTGACTTTAAAGTTTTACTGCTGATTCATTGTAATGCTGAGTCATGCTGTAATTAGTTGTGAACATATTTAAGGAAGGTACTGTAAAGTATTCAGTTGATGATAAGCTACCATAGTGTGTGGAGTTGCTATCCATTGTGCTATCATCGTTGGATGGATCTGCTACCATCGTGGTTTGTTACCAGAGTGAGTTTGTTATTCTAACCAACTAATTTGTTTGTGTGGTAAGAAGATATCTGTATCACTGGACTGATTTAACTGGCAAAGACTTGGATTGATTTAAAGACTATGAGACTGTTTTTCTACTATAAAGTAAGCTTTTGATAAACCAGTCTCTTATTCATTGCTCTCAGCAACGTTTCCTTGTGCATTTACTCTGCTGGTTGGTAACACAACACCAATATCCTTAACAAATATGCTGATGATTCTCAGCTGTATGCCTCAGCCCGTGGTGAGTTAAGTGATGCCATGTCCTCCCTCTCGCAGTGCCTGGAGGCTGTTAGGGGTTGGATGGGGAACAATGGGTTGAAACTAAACCCTGGCAAGACCGAGTGGCTCTGGGTTTGGGGTTTGTTGGCTAAGGGAGAATTGCCATCTTTGGTCTTGGATGGGGTGGCACTACCCTCAAACAGACCCTGTGCATAATCTGGGGGCTTTCCTGGACTCACGACTCCTGCTCAAAGAGCAGGTGACAGTCGCAGCCAGGAGGGCCTTTGCACAACTGCTTGTTGCATGAAGGCCCTCCTGGCCGTGGGTTGTGCACCAGTTATGCCCTTTCCTGGACTGGCAATCCCTACTCACAGTCACTCATGCCTTAGTCACTTCCCATCTCTACATGAGGCTGCCCTTGAAGAGTATCCGGAAGCTCCAGTTGGTGCAAAATGCAGTGGCCCGCACAGTTTTGTCCAGACCCTGATATGCACATATATCACCTCTCCTGCAGGAGCTGCATTGGCTGCCAATTTGCTTCTGGGTGCAATTCAAGGTTGTCATCTTTAAAACCCTTTAAAGCCCTTCATGACTTGGGACCAGGTTATCTGAGGGACCATCTCTTGCCAGTCACAACTACCTGACCCATTAGAGCGGGGAGGCAGGAAATGCTGCGGGTCCCATCCCCGAGGGAGATACACCTGGTGGGACCCAGAAGAAGGGCCTTCTCCATGGTGGCTCCCTCTCTCTGGAACATCATTCCCCCAGAGATTAGAATGGCCCCCACCCTAATTCTCTTCTGGAAGGCGCTGACCTGGTTCTGCCAGCGGACCTGGGGAACCCAGAGCGGGATGGAGCCCGTAAATGGCTCGTGTGATTAGCTGTTGCTGTCGCTGGGGCGGGAGGTGGGGGTCAGGTGTGATTTTATTACATTAATTTATTTGATTTTTTATGAGTTTTACTGTTTTTTTATTAAAAAGTTTTTTATTTTAAACACATTAAAACAACATTAAAATTAAACATATACAAACAACAAGAAGTAACACAACAAAAAACAAAATATCCTTTTCTTACAGCGGTCTATTCTTTCTATACATCACTATTTACAGATATTTAAGTATTAATTTATTTGACGTTCATTTTTACTTTATATCATTTCTTCTTTACTAACAAAAGATCATACACATTTTCTCCCTCCTTTCTTCATACATTTAACTTATTTCCTTATTTTTCAACCATTCATACCATCTACTCCAGACCTTATAATACTTTGATTCTTCTTTCCCCTTAATTTCTTTAGTTAATGTATCTAATTCTGCACATTCCAGGATTTTTTTAATTAAATCCTCTTCCGTTGGTACTGTTTCTTTCTTCCAATATTGTGTGTATACAATACGTGCTGCTGTCAATATATGCAATATAAGGTACTGTATTTCTTTGGTATAATTTTCTATCGAAATGCCTAACAGAAACTGTTTCGGTTTTCCCTCTATTGGATTCTGAATTATTTCTACTATCCAGGTTTTAATTTTCTTCCAAAATTTTTGTGCCATCGTGCAGGTCCACCATTGATGGTAATATGTTCCATAGCCAGTCTTGCATTTCCAACATTTCGGGGAGTTGGTGGGGAACATTTTCTTCCTTACTTTCTTGTTCTTCTTCTAGATAATTTTTATAGAACTCCTGCGCTTTTTCTATTGTGTCGATTTTGAATTTTTTGTCTTGCCAGGTAATAAGAATTCCTTCTGGCATGGTCCAACGGAACATTACTTTGTGTTGAATTCATTTGGATGTCAGGAAGTAATATAACTGTCTTTGGTCTCGTACTCTTCATGGGGTTTGCTTTAGGATAATAATCTCTTTCCCATTGTATGTTATTTTTTCATCCCTTGATTTTTTATATACTTCATTTCTTATTGTTTTTTTGCAAAATCTGATATGTACTTCCCATGGCAGTCAGTGCCTTCTAATGTAGTTGTTGTGTACTCGGTATGCTTCATCTATCGAGTCTTTTACTTCTATTTTATCTTTCTGTATTATTTCCGCTATTATATCATTCATTTTCTCTTTCAAATGTTCTTCTCTCTCTTCAGTAACGTTCTGGAAGCGTAGGAAGAAGGAAGCTTTCTCCATTTCTAGGAAAGTAATTGAATCAGCCAATTCTTTATTTTGTTGTTGTAATTTCTGTTCTGCCATTTCTAACTTTAAATCCAAATGGCCTACTTTATCTTCTATTTTTTTTACTTTATGCTCATTCTCTGCTACTGTCTGTTGAATATTCTCCATCTTCTCTTTCCTACTTTTCAAATCATCCTTTAACTCTCCTAATTCATCTTTAATTTCTTGGTGATATCTTCTAGCTTCCTCTTGGTGATCTGCCATTTTTTCTTGTGATTTCAATAAGGTCTCTTGAATTGTTTGTAGCATATTTTGCATGCTGCTCATAGTTGGCTCCATCTTTTCCTTTTCTTTTCCCAGCATGGATTCAATCGATTGCTGCATTGTAGTCACAGTTGGGTTTACTATAGGTTTTTTTCCCCCTGTTTCTGTTATTGTTGTTGTTGTTGACATTATTATATTTTTGGTCCAGTTCCTCCACAGTATCATATATTTTTAGGTATTATTTTACTTTGCCATGTTAGTGCTCACTTAAAATATCGCTACCTCTCACAAATATAACTTTCAAACAATGATTATCAACTGTTATAACTCTTCTCCCCCCTCTGTACACTGTATTGTTTAAGCCAATCCCTTTTTCACCACTGTCTGATCTCCTTTAATCCTTACTCCTTTCTATAAAGCTTATAAAGCCTATATTTCTTGTTCATACAATCAGCAAAACAGAATCCTCCTTTTTTCCAATTATAAAATTCTTTCTTAGATATTATTTAATAATGATTACTTAATAATTACTTAAGATTACTTAAATCCAATTTGAAACCAGAGTTTTTTTTCCAAACGTCTTCTTCCGCTTCTTCCATTCCTTATTGCATCAGATTGTTCAGTTCAGATTTTTTTCCCCACTCTTCACACCACCGTTCAGTTCTTCCTTATTTCCAATCCTACATAGTCTCAAACTTTATTATCGATCTTGTTATTTATAAATCCACAATGTCCAAATGTTTTAATTACTTCTCTGGTTCTGTCCAAAATCTCCTTTCCAACACCAAATCAGATAGATCGTTCCAAAATCGTCCACCAAAAGTATCCGTTAAGACAAAGTCTCCTCTGTATCAATCCAGAAAGTCCAGGGTAGTTACTTTGTATCTTTTTTTATTGATTCAACTCACTATTTCCGTTATGTTGTTTTCTTCTTTCGATCGTCTCCCGCTGAGCGCCCTTCTCCTCAGTTGCCTCTTTAAATACTCTCCGCGACTCTCTTTTCAACACCAAGTTTATTTTTTTTTTGCTACCTCACTAATTTTCTCTTCTTCTCTCCTCCACCTCTGATCGCTGTAGCTGTAATCACTCCTTACTTCCTCTCTGAGGCGGCTGCCTGATTTGTAACTCCAGCTTGCAGGTATTGCTGATGAAAAGGAAGGTATTCAGACAGAATGATTTAGGTTTCCATGATGGCTGTGGCTATCATTCATCTTCAGTGTATATTCCCCCATTTCTAATCTAATGATTGGTATTTGGGGCAGCTTTTTGCAAGCAAAGAAGCTTTTTGTATTTTTGTACAGGTAATCCTTGACTTACAACAATTCATTTAATAACCATTCAAAGTCACAATGGCACTGAAAAAAGTGACTTATGGCCATTTTTCACATTTACAACTGTTACAGCATCCCCATGGTCATGAGAGGCCGGGCGAGGTGAAGTGCCCTTGACATTAGTGGCGTTGAGTTATTGACCATGCCCACCCAGTCATATGACCACCCAGCCACACCTACTCAGCTGTCAGAGAACAGATTGTTAAATTATTTGAATCCCACCAACGTAGCCATGCCCAGTTCCTGTAACCGTTCTTCATATGTTTTAGTTTCCAGTCCCCTAATCATCTTAGTTGCTCTTCTCTGCCCTTTTTCTAGAGTATATTTGAAGACATGAAAATAAAAATGAAAGGCCGAAATAAAAGGAAAATACCAATTTGCTGTCCTACTTACTGCCTTGTGTGCCTACTCTTAGGAAACATAATTAATTATAAAAGTTTAGGGTCTTCATAACTTCATAACTTCTGACTTCATATGCAACATTTAGAACTTAATCCAGAACTGAAAAGGTTGTAATATCTACCTTGAGAGAATTATGTCTGTTTTGCAACAAATGCTGTTTCTTTTTTATTTCTTCTCTTTTCTGTTCATCCTTGATCATTTGGTGAAGCATATCTCCACGTTGAAGCAATTCTTTTATAGTGCCCTCATGACTGTCACTCTAAGGATAGAAAGATAGCAATATTAGAAATAGAGATGACAGAGATAGAGATAGAGACAGAGACAGATAGATAAAAAATGGTAATGACATTTATGTAATTGAGGGTTGGTCAATCTCAGACTGTTTCTGGATCTTGAAAATAATGGTACAATGACAAAATAATAATTTAACAAAATTACTTAATATTATCAACACACTATAAACAAAATTAGACTATAGATTAGGATCTACTGTATACATTTTTGTAATGTGCAGATCTCCAAGCCTTTTAACATTCATAATACACATTCCAGCACTATTGCAAGAGACATGAAAAGTTATAAAATGTGCCTAAATTGTCTGAAAAGGTTTTAGGCATCCATATTGCCCCTCATGCAAATCTATTTTGGAGGTTGCTACTTTGAAAGGATAGCTCTGCAAAAGGTATGCTGGTAGGCTGAGCTTGCCTTTCAGGATACTGTTCTTTAAACTGAGGAATACTAGAAATAAAAAGTTTCATAATACCTGCATGATAAATCTATAAATAAAAACTTATGCTGTACAAAATAGAATATATTCTGCCAGGAAAATGAGTTCATAACATGGGTAAATGAAGTATTTTCTCCTCAGCCAATTAATATACATACTCTTCTCCTGACTGGTGCTTTTATTAGGTCAAATTAAAAACAACAGAGGAATTATCATGAAGGAAAATTTTATACTTATACTCATCCTGCAAGCAGAGATTGGTGGAGCAAACTGTGTGTAACTGTGTGTTAAATCATATGTAAGAAAATAAGTCTATATGTATATTTGTATACCTATATGTCGGGTGCGCCTCTGCTCAAAATTCAAGAAAGGAAAACCCCCACTCCATGTTTGTAAAGAAAGGTACTTTTACTGAGCATGAACTGAATGCAGCAAAAGAAAAGCAAAGTCTGAGGCAATAGGTGCGAAAATTACATATTGAAAGCATCCCCAAATCCCTCCCCCCCAAGGACCTGGGATGAATGTCCAATCCACATCTCCCTGAGGTGTCATGTGAGGTACTTCTTCAGGCAGCCCCATCCTTCTGGTATGCCGGGATGGTTGACCTTGACAGCTATCAGCTCTCTCCACAGCTGCTAAGAAGATGGTGAGAGTTTTCCTCCCTTTTCCAAGACCTCTCCACCAGCTCACTTCCCCCCCTTCCAAATACCAACAATACCTCCCCCCTCCCATTACTATGGCAGCTGGAAGCAAGCAAGCATCATGAGGCTGACATTTGGCCCTCCTGCAGAAGAGTCATTAGTCCTAAAAAAGAAAACAAATTGAAATAGACAGAGCAGAACCAAATGAGTAAACGGTTAAAATCCATCATACCTGTAATCATTATAAATCCCAAGCTTTAAGGCTTATCAGGATATTTACTGTGAAAAGACTGTAAAAGTTTTGGAGCTCTAACATCTCACTCATTCACCCATTCGGATTGAGAGGAAGTGAAATGTTTCCAAGCCACCAAGTACTGTACTCTACCTCTATGATTTCTGGAATCAAGGATTTCAGAAATGTTGAAATGTTGTTCCCCTTCAATGAGAAGTTAAACTGGAGCCGGGGGGTGGGGAGTCTGATCTGGCCAAATTGAGGAGGTATGTACAGGTTTCAGCAAACTAACATGGAATACCAGGTGAATTCTCCGGAGGGTTTTTGGTAGCTCTAACTGTACTGAGACCGGGTTTATGATTCACACAATGGGAAAAGGTCCCACATATTTAGGGACAAGTTTTTTCAACTTTTGGGTAGTTTGTAAGTACTTAATGGAGAGGAAAACCCTATCCCCTACTTGGTAGACTTTTGGCATAGCCCGTTTCTTATCAGCCTGTTTCTTATGGGCTCTATGAGCCTCATCTAACGCCTTACGAGCTACAGGCCAGGTAACCTGAAGCTGTTCGATCCAATCTGTCAAGGATGGAATTTGAGGTTTTTCCTGCAGTAACCCCAAGATAGGTACAAAGTCCTGACCTGACACCACTTTGAATGGTGTAAACCCAGTACTGCTGTGTATGGAGTTACTATAGGCCACCTCCGCAAACAGTAATAAGTCGGCCCAGTTATCATGCTGGTAATTTACATAACATCTGAGGTATTGTTCCAACACCGAATTAGTCCTCTCACAAGCCCCATTGGTCTTGAGGATGGTGGGTGGAGCTTAGCTCTTAGGCGGAGTCTAACAACCTCAGGAACTCCCTCCAGAAATGGGAGGTGAATTGAACCCCTCTATCAGAAATTATTTGTTCGGGAACACCGTGTAAACTATAGACATGTTGAATAAACAGTTTAGCCAGGGTCTTTGCTGAGGGAATCTTGGAACAGGGTACAAAATGCACTTGTTTGGAGAACAAGTCCGTAATCACCCAAATGACTGTATTTCCACTACTTTTGGGTAGTTCTACAATAAAATCCATGGATATCTCCTTCCAAGGAGCCCCCGGTCTGGCCACATTCTGGAGTAACCCGGGCGGGTTCCCAGGTGGTCTCTTTGCCAAAGCACACACCGGGCAGCTAGCAACATATTCCTCTATATCCTTCTTTAGGGAAGGCCACCAAAATTGTTGTTTGACCAAATGTAGAGTCTTAACAAACCCAAAATGTCCAGCCACTTTTGCATCATGGGATTGTTGTAACACTGCCCCCCTCAGACTGGCCAGGACATACAATTTAGCCCCCATCCATGCGAGACCATCATGAACAGTACACTCGTTGCTGTGGGAGGTGAACCAGTCATCAATTTTAAGTGCTTCTTTTAACTGCTCACTTAAACTGGTGGGTAGGTCCAGTTCTCCTCTCGTCTGGGCTCTGGTAACAACAGGAGTGGCCAGCTGTTTCGATGGGATAACCGGACAAATCACCTCCTGTCATGTGCTATTGTATTGAAGCAGTCTCAAGAGGGCATCAGCCATAAAGTTCTTTCCTCCTGGTAGGTAGCACAGGGAGAAATTGAAGCGATTGAAGTGTTGTGCCCACCGGACTTGTTTGGGCAACAATTTCTGAGGGCTTTTTAGGGCTTCTAAGTTCTTATGGTCAGTCCATACCTCAAACAAGTGTTTTGCCCCTTCGAGGAAATGTTTCCAGGTTAACAAGGCCCAGCAGACAGAAAAAGCCTCCTTCTCCCAAATAGCCCATCTCCGTTCAGTCTCAGACAATTTGCGGGAGGTGTAGGTGCAGGGTTGTAGAAATCCATCAGCATTAGCTTGAAGGAGCACCGCTCCGATGGCCAAATCACTTGCATCAGCTTGGATGATGAAAGGGTCTTCCATGTCAGGGTGTTTTAGGACAGGCTCAGCAGCAAACAGTTGCTTCAGTTTCTCAAATGTGGCCTGACATTCCATGGTCCACTCGAGCGGCCTCCTAGGCTTTGGCTTGGCTTCCCCCTTTGTTTTCAGGAGGTTGGTAATGGGTAAGGCAATCTGGGCAAATGTTGGAATAAACTGTTGATAAAAGTTAGCAAAGCCCAAGAAACTTTATAGCTGCTTGCGGGTGTGGGGGGTGCCCACTCCAGGATCACCCAGACTTTTTCCGGATCCATTTCTATTCGCTCATGAGATATGCGGTAGCCCAAATAGTCAATCTTACTCTGATGGGATTCACATTTTGATAACTTAGCATACAACTCAGCCACTCTGAGTTTTTTCAGAAACTGACCACACCAGTTTCAAGTATTCGTCCATGGTCTCCATGTAAATAGGAATGTCATCTAAGTAGACCAAAACCCCCTTGTAAAGATGTTCATGTAATACCTCATTAATTAATTGCATGAACACTGCCAGGGCCCCTTGTAACCCAAAAGGGAGCACCCTAAATTGAAAGCAACCCAAGGGGCAATTGAAAGCAGTTTTCCATTCATCCCCCTCCTTAATTCAGACTCTGTAATAAGCTTCTGTCAAATCCATCTTAGTGAAAATCTTCCCTTTGCCAGGTGAGCTAGCATGTCTTTCATGAGGGGCAATGGGTAGACATTTTCTACGCAAATCACGCTGAGGTTCTTATAATCCACACATAGATGAAGATAGCCATCCTTCGCCCAAAACAAAACCGGAGTGGCCACTCGCAGCCTCGCTAGTTGGATGAAGCCCCATTTTAAGTTTTTATCAATAAAGTTCTGCAGATCCTCCAGCTAGCGGGGGGTCATGGAGTAGATCTTTGGTTTAGGGAGCTTCACCCCTGGGAGGATCTCTATGTTACAGTCAGTGGGTCAATGGGGGGGGGAGTACATCTAACGCCTTCTCGCTGAAAGCCTCTCTGAGGTCCCAATATTCCTTAGGGATATTTTCCTCCCCAGCAATGTGTTCGCTTGCCACTGCTGCCAACTCCTTCGCAGCTTTGGCCATGCAAAAAGGTTTGCCCCCTTCTTTCCCTGGTAGGGCAGAATGGATGCATAACCATCCCTTCCTCCAGTTTACCTGGGGGTTCCATTTCCGTAGCCAAGGCAGTCCAAGTAAGAAGGAACATTCCATGCCTGGGGCTACGATAAAACTCAAGACCTCTCAAGTGGTCCCCCGTCCACAACTCAACCAGTTCAGTCACAAAGTGGGCTGCCCCCCCCCAGCTACTGATCCATCCAATTGGCAGAATGCAATGGGCACTTTCAGTGCTTTTAGTCTCAGTCCCAGCTTGTCCACCACCTCGGGGCTAATGACACACCTAGTACATCCAGAATCTAAGAGGGCTAGCATCTTCCCCTGGGCACCGGATGATGGCACCCTTAGTTCTACTGGGATGGTCATGGGGCCCCCATGCTGACTTACCAGGGGCTCATCATCGGTATCGGTTTCGCTGTCTTTGGTGGTGGACATCTCCATCAGCTCATTTGCCCCCCTCCCAAATAACAACAATACCTCCCCCCTCCCATTACAATGGCAGTCGAAAGCAAGCAAGCATCATGAGGCTGATACTATATGTCTATATGTATACCTATATGTATACTTTGACTGGCTGAGGTGCACAGTAGTCTGCCATATTATGGACTCCTTGGAATATTTTTACTAACAGCAAGCAATCCTGAGTTACTAATACATGGGCAACAGTTGTAGGGATTTGAGAGATTTATAAGTATATGTGATTGTGTATATGTAGGTGTGGGTGTGGTGTGGGTGTGTTTTCTGAAATGTCAAATAGTATATTTCACTAATCCAGAACTGTTTCGTGATAATTATAAAGAACAATCATATATTCTTGTTATTGAAACATTGAAATAATTGCTAAGATATAATTGTGCCATATGTAAATATCATATACAGTTTTATAACATTTAAGAATACTGAAGTTTGTGAAGTGTCTGGTGTTAAATGCAAATGCAGAAGTTCCTAATTTCTGCTCCAATATTTTTCCTTTTCCATTCCTAGTTCATTCAAACTTCTGTCACAACCAATTTACCATATCTTTATTGAAGTCTTCTTCTTTCAGATTCACCCCCTCCTGAATTTCAGCCTCCAGTGGTTCAAGCAATTTTTGTATGTCAAAGTTAAACTGCTCCAATTCCTTCAAAGAAATGAAGGGCTTAAAGGTTGGAAAATGGGAAAGGAGAAAAGGAATGGACATTTATTAGTTTTTCTTCACATTTTTATTATGAATATATATCATAAGCATATATGCTTTCCTTCAACTGCTAAATTAATTATCTATACATTTATTTTACAAACTACTATATATGTAGTAATACAAGTAGAACCTGGTCAGCTTGTATTTATAAATCTTACTTATTTTATGTTACCAAACCAAACCAACCCAGATAATTAAGCAATTAGCCAGACAATATGCCATATTAACTACACCAAAGTAATAAAAAGCCAAATTTCCACAACATGTTAATAATGGGAACTTATTTGATAATTTATCAGTATCTACATCAATAAAGCAAATATGTTAAGTTTTTATGTGTGTGTGTATGTATGTGTGAAATAAAAAAGCTCAAAAATAGTTATCTCCATTAAATAACAGATGAGTAAAAAACAAACTATTACACATTAATATTAAATTAATATTAAATTAATAAGAATGGGGAAAAAGTCAAGTTCCTAACACAATTTGACAAAGTTCCATTCGAGTCAGAGACACCATTTAAGGCGTTTCTGGGTTGAAAGGATTAGCTGGTGACATTACTGTTGCTCGAGGGACACCCTGAGGGCTCCTTTCATGACCCTGTCAAGGAGCTGGAGTGAATGACAGGAGCTCACCAGCCACACAGCAGCATTCAGGTCTTGAATGTGGGCTTGCTAACCTCCAACCTTAGCATCCTAACCACATGAATCACTACACTCCTAATTTGGCAAGATGGAAATAGAACATTCCAGAATTAATTTTCTGTAAAAAATAATTGTAAATATACATTTATCCTTAATTCTAAACTGTTTTTATTAGAAATAAGAAAATGCCCAGAAACTTAATCAAAGTAGTATCCAAAGAATTTTACTGTATTACTTTTAAAAGAATCATCTGGGTTCACCTTCTACTCCACTTCCTCAACAAAGAAAAGGGGAGGGGGGGGAAGGATTCAAAAACTTTGGCAGAAAGCTTAGTTTATACAAATTATAGTGTATACATCTATTTATTTATATCCCACCTTATTAATTTTACAAATAACTCAAGATGGCAAACATATCCAATACACCTCTCTCCTCCTATTTTCCCCATAACAACAACCCTGTGAAGTGGGTTAGACTGAGAGAGAGTGACCCAAGGTCACCCAACTAGCTTTCATGGCTAAGGCAAAACTCATCATCTCCTGTCCTATAGCTAGATTTTACTTCTTTTCCACCAGGAAAGTAACATATATAACCAATATATAGGTGTGTAGTTATAATTCATGATAAATTCTCAAGTGTTTTACAAAATCTAATGGACAGTTATTGCAAAGATGTTTTATTTTTCTAAATTTTAAACAGATTTATTTGATGAGGAATATTTTTCATTATTCACAAATACAGATATGCTTTTCTACTGACTAATATTATGATACTTCAAAGACCTTCCAGTATTAGACACAGGAATGAAATGCTCCCGGTTCGGACCGGCTCGGGCGAGTAGGTAGCGGAGATTGAGGCTAGTTCGCCGAACCGGGAGCAATGGCTGGTTGGTCATGCCCCCGAACCGATCCATGGCCCGCAGTCCTGCCATGCTTGCCTGCCTTCCATGCTGCCTTCCTGGCGTCCCGGTGGCCAGCTTGTGAAGGCAGGCAAGCAGAAGTCCATGTGGAAGGCAGGCAATCATGGCAGGGCTGCGGGGAAGGAGCTAGATGTCAGCACTTCAAGCTGCATTTACTCTAGTGCTGACATAAGAAGAAGTGGAGGCGTCTGGAAAGGGACGTTTGACTTTTCACCTACTTATTTTCCCTGGAGATAATATCCCATAGGAGATGGGATGGGAGGGGGAAAATTCCTTTGAGCTGGAGCAGTAGATTAGGGGCAGAGTGACTTGGAAGATGGCCAATGAGTGCAGAGGAGTGGGGAATGGAAAGGGAGGGTTTTGGGTCTGGAAATCAGTGTTGGCTGCAATGGAGTCGGAGTTAGAATGTCGTACGTAATAAATGGGAGTTTTTCATCAAAGACTTTGTTTGAAATGCAATTTATTTGAGATGACCTCAAAACCTGACAGACAGCCAACACTCCTTTCCAAGCCAAACTGGCTGACCTCCAGATCTCCAGCTCCCTGCCAGATGTATGGAGTGAGTGGAGAAGAAGTCCGGACGTCATGGTGGAAAGCAAACTGTCTGAAGAGAGTTTAATTAAGGCAACTGGAAAAGAGCCAGTCTTGATCCCAGCCAGTTTGGATGCTACGGAGCCTCAACCCCTCCCTCCTCCAGCGAAGCTGCAAGACAGCCAAGGTCAGACGATCGTGCCACAAACCAAGAAAAAAAAAGATGAGTATTGGTGGGCTTTGCCAAAATTCGCAGAGGCTGAGTTTCCCTTCCCGAACGCACAAGGGAAGGGGAAACCCCTGAGTGAATTGGGGAGGGCAGACTGGCTATGGGACTGGCAGCAAGCCAGGCACCAAAAAGCTTCAGGTAAGCCATTCGAGAGCCCCATAGATGAATTGAAGGAGAAATTTGACCATGCCATCATTTGGGAGAAGGGACTATCATGCAGGCCAAAGGAGAAGGGGGAGCCAGTTTGGTCTGCTGAACCGAGAGGCCGTAGACTGAAGCACAGCCCTCCCCCCTCCCATAGCAGAAGGAGAGGAAGCCCAAAGATGCATCCATGGGTTCCCCCCTTACACAGCAAGCAGAGCAGCCTAGATAGGACATCACCTCCCTACCCTAGAAGGAGAGATGAGGAAGAGGACCAGCGGCACCGAGGGCAGGCTTACAGAGTCCCGCAGTGGGAGGAGAGGGCAGCAAGGGAGGACCCACCCCATTTCAGAGGGAAGTTCAATGGCGATCCAGACCAGCTAGCGCAATTCCTCGACACAGCTGAGATCTACACCAAGCGCTATGGACACAGCGCATTCCATAATTTTGGATATTAATTTCTCTTGAGTCGGGACCTCTTCTTGTTTCCAATTTTGTGTGTATATGATTCTTGCTGCAGTCAAAATGTGTGTTATTAAATATATTATTTCTTTTTCATATTTGCTTGTAGGTATTCCTAATAAGTAAGTTTCTGGTTTTAATGGTACCTTTTGAGTTATTATTTGTTCCAGTTGCATTTTTATATTGTTCCAGAATTTTTTAGCTTTGGGACATGACCACCATATATGATAGTATGTCCCTTTATGCGCTTTACATTTCCAACAGAGTGGAGATGTACTGGGAAACATTTTAGAAATTCACGCCGGTGGTAGATGCCACCTATAGAACAATTTATAAGCATTTTCTTTGTATGGTACAGATAATGTTAATTTATTAATACTTTTCCACAATTTTCCCACTTATTTAATTCTATTGCATACCCAAAATTCGTTGCCCATGTGATCATATTCTCTTTAACTACTTCCTCTGCTAGTTTATATTCCAAAAGAAAATTATAAATTTTGGTTATTAATTTCTCATTGGGGCCTAATAAAATTTTATCCAACTGATTAGGTTCCATTTGAATTCCAGTTTTTTCCATATCAGATTTATATCTGGATTTTAATTGCAAATATTACCACCACTCTATTTCCACATTTTGCATTCTCAATTCTTCTCTTGTTTTTAGTTTTCCTTCTTCATTTAAGATGTCCTGATATGTTTTTAATTTATTTGTATCTATTGTATGGATAAATATGTGCTTCCATTATGGAAGTCCACCTAGGAATCCTATCATAGTGATATTTTCTCATTTCATTCCATATTTTAAGCAAATTGTCTCTTACATTATGTCTGCAAAATTGTTCTTGTTTTGTAAATTTCTCTCCCCAAAGATATGCATGCCAAGTCATGTCAAGTCAAAACCTTCCAATATTAATGTTCTTATGTTTTTGAGTTTGATCCAATCTTTTATCCATGTTAACGCTGAGGCTTTGTAATAACTCTGCCAATCAGGGAGTCCGATTTCCCCTCTCTCTCTTTTGTCTTGTAGATGTTTTAATTTGATTCTTGCTTTTTTTCCCTGCCAACTAAATTTTAATATCATTCTGTCTAAATCTTTAAAATATGTTCTTCCTGGGTTTACTGGTATCACCCTAAATAAGTATAACACTCTTGGCAGAATATTCATTTTAATGGTAGCAATTTTGCCTAAAAGAGACAATTGGAGTTTTGCCCATCTTTCCAAATCGTTTTCTATTTGTTTAGCCAATTTAATATAATTGTCTTCCTTCAAGGTTGATATTTTGTTTGTAATCCATACTCCTAAGTATTTAACTTTCTTTGCTGTTTGTATCCCTAATATATTTTCCAATTCTTCTTCTTGATACTTGTTAAGGTTCTTTGTTAAAATTTTAGTTTTTTGTTTATTAATTTTCAATCCCGCTACTTCTCCATATTGTTGTACTTTTATCATTAATTTTGGTCCAGATTGTATGGGTTTATCTAAGATGAGTACTATATCCCGTGCGCTCCCACAGAGAGGGCCTCCTCAGGGTGCCATCAGCCAATCAATGTAGGCCAATCAATGTAGGCTGGTGACTCCCAGGGCGAGGGCCTTCTCTGTGAGGGCACCTACCCTCTGGAATCAGTTGCCCCCAGAGATAAGGAGAATCCAAGACCTTAGTGCCTTCCGCCGTGCCCTTAAAACCCACTTTTTCCAGCAAGCCGGGCTGGCTTAAGAAGAAATTTTAAATGTTTTAATTGGTTTGTATTTTTAATTTTGGGCCAAATTTATATATATTTTAATTGTTTTTAATATTTGTATTTCATGTTTTTTAATTCTGGCTGTACACCGCCCTGAGTCCTCAGGGAGAAAGGCGGTATATAAATTTTAAAATAAAATAAAATAAATAAAATCATACGCAAAGGCTTGCAGTTTATATTCTTGATTTTTTATTTTTAGTCCAGTTATTTCTGTATCTTTCCTGATTTCTTCTAGTAATATTTCCAATGTTAATATAAACAATATAGGAGATAATGGGCATCCTTGTCTCACTCCTTTCTTTATATCCAATTGTTCAGTTGTATCTCCATTAATTTGTATTTTTGCTGTTTGGGTGTTGTATATCTTTTTAATCATTTTTATAAATCTTTCTCCAAATTTCATCTTTTCTAATTGTGCTAATAGAAATGTCCAGTTGAGATTATCAAACGCTTTTTGTGCATCTAGGAAAATTAGAGCTAACTGGTTTTCCGATCTTTGCTCATAGAATTCCAGAGTGTCAATAATTGTTCTTATATTGTTATGAATTTGTCTTCCAAGAATAAAACCATTTTGATCAGGATGTATATAGTATTTGATTAGGTCTTTCAATCTCTGCATTATAATTGATGTGAATAGTTTATAACCTACGTTGAGAAGAGAAATTGGTCTATAATTTTTAATTTCCATGGGAAATTGTCTATCTCTTTATTACATTTGCCTTTTTAAAGGATAAATAGCTGTCCCTCCAGGCTTTCTTTCCCTCCTTACTCTCTCAGGCTTTCTTTCTCTGTTTCTTTGCTATTGATTTATTCCCAAGACCATGTGAAGAAGAGGGAGGGTGAGGGAGGGAGAGAAAGGGGGGGTACACCCATCCTACTAGTTCTTTGCAGATGTGGTTAAATAAATGTAAGAAATTAAATAAATGTAAGAAATAAAAGAAGAAATGTAAGTTATCTAGTAACAAACAAAACAAAACAAAACAAAACCCAAAGTCAGACCACCACAGGGTGGATTTTCCCAGAATGGTTTAGCAATCTTGTGTAAATAAAACCTGTAATAACAACAGTTTCTCGTTCATATGCACGCACTGATCACATCACAGAAACAAAACAGCAAGAAATTAATAAGCAATTTTCCGCATAGAAATATCAGTCTAAGTTTATTATAAAATAACATGCAGTTTAGAAAAGGCATACAACAGCTTTTTCACATACATTAAAGCCTTTTGAATAGCATATGTTCCCTTATTCTAAATTTTTAAATAGATAGCAAAAGATGTAACTAAGGAGGTAAATTGTACCTGGAATAGAAGCACCATAAATATTACACATAAGCACACACATTTAGACAAAACCCTCAGAGATGCAGCTAACTCTTATTATTGCTAATTTTTATTTGGAAAATTGCCTTCTAGAATTATTAATTTAAAATGTTCCATTTTGAAGAATATAACTCTCTTTGCAGGGCTATTTCTCTTACCTTTTCACATTTAATTCTTTCTGATACTGTTGTAAACCGTTGGTTGAGCTCTATCAGTTTAGGTTCTATTACCTTCCTGCAGTGACCTCCACGGTTTGTCATCAAGTCAACTGCCTGGTCACGAACAGAATCTACCTTTGGATGCATATCATTTAGCTCACCCTTTAAGCACTGCAAAATATGAGTAAAACACAGAGCTTTACATTAAATATAAAAACAGGAAAAAAGAAAGAAAGGGAGGAAAAAAAGAAAAAAAATCCAAGTATCCTGATAGCCACACACAATTGTGTCATATTTCTTGTAAACAGATTTATGCATGAACCAATTAATGTAGAATCTCCCCTTAAAAAAATAATTTAAACAGGAAAATAAATTATTTGTAGCTATGAAGCAACATGCTTTCCAAAGCTTTCAATACAAAGACACAAAAGCTAGTAACGGGTATTTTAGTTTCTGCAGCAACTCAGAAACTTGTACAAAATAAGCCGTTGAGTTAAGTTAAAATCTGTTACCAATTTATGCTAAACATGCTGGATTTAGAATAGATTTCCAGGTCAGTTATGAATAAAAGGAACCAAGATGCATTACTTAACAGTAAAATCATATAAATCTGAACCCAAATAAACCCAAATAGTACTATAAAATGAACAACTATTATTAAACAAATTACATATTTGTAGCTCTTTAATTTCAAGAATTGCCTGCTGATAAATATTCTCTTCTTAGAGGACTTTCAAAAATATATTATGATGATTTTAGGAATATTTCCATTCTCCATGAAATAATTTTAAATCAAATAAACTGATAATTTATTTGCTAAATTGTTAATGATTTGTACAGTATTATAATTTTGGATTTAGGAAAAATAATAGTTTACACTTCTTGAGGTAATTGGAGATTTTCAGAATATTTAATTATGTACACAGTTTATAGTGGCAATGACGTCAAGAGCTTTTTAAATTCTATATATTAGAAATAGCATGGCTGCAATTACTAATACTACTTTAATATTACGGAAACATAGAAATCACTTAGAACAAAAATCAAAGATGTGGCTGAGAACCTAACCAAAATAATAAAAGCTACAGATTATTACCCCTTTCTACTACTACATGTAGGGACGAATGACACAAAAATGGACCTGAAAACAATATTGAGTGATTACAAGCAGCTAGGCAAGAAAGTTAAGGAGTTAGGTGCACAAGTAGTTTTTCATCTGTACTGCCAACAAAAGGTCAACATCCAGTAAGAGAATAAAGGATTCTAGAAGTGAACCACTGGCTAAAGGGTTGGTGTTACCAAAAGAATTTAGGATTCCTGGACCATGGTCTACACTTCCTCCACAATGGGCTTTTGTCAAGGGATGGTGTTCTGATCTGGCTCCCAAACACAACAAGCTCTCTGTATTTAACTAAATGTTCTCTTTATTAGGAGCACCAGCAGTCCTGGCAAAGTCTCTTTCTCCCTCACAGCAGGCTAACTAAGTCTCTAAATGCTTGTGGAAAGCAATGCTCACTCCCTTTCCCCCTGAAATGGCCACAACACACCAGGAGTCTCTCTCTCTCTCTCTCTTTCCCCACACTTGCAAAAGAAGTCCTGGAAGGTACACTCACTTTCTTCCAGCAGCAGAGACACACACACACACACGCTCAGAAGGCATGCCTGATTCTCAGTGCTGGAGATTCCAAGAAAGAATTCTGATTAGTTGTTTCAAACAAGATTCAGAAGTTCAGGCTATCAGTGGCTGATGATGGGGAGATGAATAGTTGTCTGCCACATCTATTTGTCTCCGCCCCCTGCTTTTATCCCCAGAGCTAGGGTGGGTCTTAGCTAGCAGCTATGGCTCATCCTTCCTGAGGACCGGCCCATAGATTTCCACTGCTATCCTCTGCCTTCTGTACATCTGTGTGTCAGGGACTGGACCCAGCTTGAATGTATTTGGGTCAATATTAAAGGGGGGGGGGGAAATGACATTGCCATAGGTCTATACTATAGGCCACCCAACCAAACAGAGGAAGTAGATGAACTTTTTGCTAATCAGCTAACTAAGGTATGTAGGAAGCACATCACAATAGTAATGGGGAAATTGAACTACCCTGACATCAACTGGGAGACAAACTCTGCACCAAGTGGAAGATCCAACAGGTTCCTAACAAACCTAGCAGACAACTTTGTTTCCCAAAAAGTAGAGAAGGGAACAAGGGGACCAGCCATATTGGACTTAATTCTCACTAATAGAGATGAAATGATAGAAGGTGTTGAAGCTACAGGAACCTTGGGGGCAAGTGATCACGCAATATTGGAATTCAACATTATGCAAACACAAGTAGTAGAACAAAGTCAAACTAGAGTCTTGGACTTTAAGAGAGCTTATTTCAATAAACTTAGAGAGAGCTTGAGAAGGATTCCATGGATGAGAATCCTCAAGGGGAAAATAACTCAAGAAACTTGGGAAATTTTGAAAAGTGAGATTATAAAAGCCCAGTCTAACACAATACTAATGAAGAAGGAGCCTGAGTGGCGTAGGAGGCTAATGCCTTCTAAGGCAGCATTTAACATCCAGCTGCCTGCAATTACTGCAAGTTCAATTCTCCCCAGGCTCAAGGTCGACTCAGCCTTCCATCCTTTCTAAAGTGGGTAAATTGAGGACCCAGTTTGTGGGGGCAATAAGCTGACTTGATATAAATATACAAAAGTATGAAGGCTATTGCTTAATGCATTGTAAGCCACCCTGAGTCTCCGGAGAAGGGTGGCATATAAATCAAATTAAAATAAAAAAAAAGAAGAAAAATAATAGATCTCAAAAGAAACTAGCATGGCTGCATAAAGAACTCTCTAACAAATTGAAAGTCAAAAAGGACAAGTATAAAAAGTGGAAAGAGGAGCAAATAATTAAGGCAGAATATCAGCAAATAGCCCAAGCCTGTAAAGATGAAGTGAGGAAAGCTAAGGCTCACAATGAACAAAGGCTTGTGACTAAAGTAAAAAATAACAAAAAAAAAAAGCTTCTTCCAACATATTAAAAACAAGAAAAAAGTCAAGGAAACAATTGGCCCATTGCTGGGAGAAAGTGGCAAGAAGGTGACAAGCAACAGGGAGAAAGCAGAACTACTTAACTCATTTTTTGCGTCTGTCTTTACACAAAAGGAAAAAACAGTCCAACCTATCAAAAACAGCACCACAAAAAACAGATTAGGAACACAAGTTAAAATAGGGAAGAAAATGGTAAGTGAACACCTGTCTACCCTAGACAAGTTCAAATCACCAGGACCAGATGCATTACACCCCAAGGTTCTGAAGGAACTGGCAGACGAGAGCTCAGAACCACTGAACTATATCTTTCAAAGATCCTGGAGCACAGGAGAACTGCCAGAGGATTGGAAAAGAGCTGATGTAGTTCCCATCTTCAAAAAAGGAAAAAAAATAGATCCAGGAAACTACAGACCTATCAGCCTGACTTCAATACCAGGGAAGATTCTGGAAATCTGCAAATCACTGAACACCTAGAAGCAAACCAAGTAATAACCAAAAGCCAACATGGGTTTGTCAAAAACAGGTCATGCCAGACTAAACTTATTGCATTCTTTGACAAAGTGACAAAATTAGTGGACCAGAGGAGTGCTGTCGATATAATTTACTTGGACTTCAGTAAAGCATTTGATAAAGTAGACCATAACCTACTACTAGATAAAGAAGAAAAATGTGGGTTAGACAGCATCACCACCAGGTGGATTTGTAACTGGCTGACCAACTGCACTCAACGTGTAGTCCTCAATGGAACTGCATCTACATGGAGCGAAGTATGCAGTGGAGTACCCCAGGGCTCTGTTTTAGGCCCAGTGCTCTTCAACATCTTCATCAATGACTTGGACGAGGGAATAGATGGGGAACTCATCAAATTTGCAGATGACACCAAGCTGGCAGGAATAGCCAACATTCCAGAAGATAGGCTCAAGATACAGAAGGATCTTGACAGACTTGAACATTGTGTGCTATCTAAAAAAATGAAATTCAACAGTGAAAAAAGCAAGGTTCTACATTTAGGGAAGAAAAACAAAATGCACAGGTATTGTATATGTGGTACCTTGCTCAATAGTAGTAACTGTGAAAAGAAATATTAAGAAAAGGCAAGTTTATAAAACATTAGAGGATGATTACAAGAAATTTGAAAAAGAACTACAGAAATTCCCACAAAAAAAGGATATTAAAATGAAAATGGATACAATTAAACATAAAATGGGATTAATAGAAAAAGAAGATTTAGCACAAAAAATTAGAAGTGCTAAACAGAACTATTTTGGAGATGCCAATAAACCAGGTAGATGGCTAGCATATAAATTGAAGAAAGAGAGAGAATCAAGGAAAATAACACAATTAGTAGATGACCAAGGACAAATTAGATTTGGGAATAAAGAGAAGAAAAATATTATATAAGATTATTATAAAAAATTATATGAAAAAGAAAATATAGAGGCGGAAAGTATTAAACGATATTTACACACGGCGAATCTACCCCAGATTTCTAAAGATACTGAGATGATGTTAGGAGGAAACATAACAATGATGGAATTGACTGAAGCACTTAAAAAACAAAAGAATGGGAAGGCACCAGGCCCGGACGGACTGCCAGCGGAATACTATAAGACTTTACAGGAATCGTTGAGTGATTGTTAGAAGTTATGAATGAAGTAATGTTAAAGATGGAAATACCCAAATCATGGTCAGAAGCATATATTACACTTGTCCCAAGGGAGGTTGTGATCCACAACAAGTCAAGAATTATAGGCCTATATTCCTGCTAAATTCAGATTATAAAATCTTTGCTACAATATTGTCAGAAAGACTTAAAAGTTATTTAAATAATTTTATACATTCTGATTAAAATGGATTTCTGCCAAAAAGGCAGATTAGAAACAATTTGAGGATAATTCTGGACACTTTGGAATACTATGAGGCACATCCTGAAAAGCAAATGGCTTTGATATTTCTAGATGCACAGAAAGCCTTTGACAATGTGAATTGGCGATTTATGCTATTACAGCTGAAACAGATGGGCTTTGGGAGGAAATTTATTCAAGCCATAGAAGCCATATATCATAAACAAACAGCAAAAGTAATGATAAATGGAGAATTGACAGAATCTATTGAAATACAAAAAGGAACGAGACAAGGTTGTCCACTGGCACCTCTTTTGTTCGTGTTAACACTAGAAATATTAAACAGAAATATTAGAGATGAAAAAGAAATAAAAGGAATGAAAATTCAAAATGAAGAATATAAATTGCAAGCATTCGCTGATGACCTGGTGTTTATTCTTGAAGATCCATTTGAATCAATAAATAAACTGATAGACAAAATAGGAGAATTTGGAAAAGTAGCAGGTTTGAAAATAAATAAAGATAAAACGAAGATTTTGACAAAAAACATATTAGAAAAACAAAAAGAATTGGCGGATGTATCGAAGATGCAGGTCACGAACAAGGTTAAGTACTTGGGGATATATTTGAGAGCAAGATGCAGTACACTCAAGGAGAATAATTACAATAAACAGATAGTGACAGATTTTGCTAAATGTGAAAATTTGCAATTATCATTGAGAGGGAGGATATCAACTATTAAGATGAATATATTGCCTAGAATTTTATATTTGTTCCAGACAATTCCAATCAGGTTGGGAAAAGATTATTTTGAAGAATTGAATAAAATAGTGTTAAAATATATTTGGCAGAGTAAAAAGGCGAGGATAAAATTAAAATTGCTGCAAGATGCTAGAGTAAGAGGAGGTTTTGGTTTGCCGGAATTGGAACTATATTATCAAGCAACTAATTTGATGTGGATCAAAGAATGGATAATGTTAAGAAATACTAGGTTGTTGACTTTAGAAGGACATGACTTGTTGTTGGGCTGGCATGCTTTCTTATGGTACAAGGGCACAAAAACACAGGGGTATTTTAGAAGACATGTTATTCGAGAGTCTTTGCTATTAAATTGGGAGAAGATTAAAAGACAACATTATTTAAAAATTCCAGTCTGGTTATCTACTGAAGCATTCTCATATTCAATAATATTTAGAAAGGAACAAAATTGTTAAATATAGTGAATTACTGAATGAAAAGGGTGAACTTAAATCGAAGCAAGAACTAGAAGAACAGGATATAAAAATGGATTGGTTTTCGTATATGCAAATACATTCTAGATATGATAAAGATTCTAAAACAGAAGATTTTTACAGTAATCTGACTAATTTAGATAAAATTTTAACAGGTTCTGATGACTATGTAATTAAAAAATTGTATGGTTACTTATTAGAGGTAAAATTGGAAGAAGAATAAGTTAAAGAAACAATGATTGCATGGGGGGAAATTTTGGTTATGATTGCATGGGGGAAAAATTTGATTTAGAGAAATGGCAAAATTGTGGATGCAAAATTATAAAATGACAATGTCAACAGCATATAAGGAGAATTTGTATAAGATGTTTTACAGGTGGCATCTACCCCCGACAAGAATAGCGAGAATGTTCAAGAACAAATCTGAGAAGTTTTGGAAATGTCATCAGATACCAGGCTCATATTACCATATGTGGTGGACATGTGTAGAAGCGAAAAGATACTGGACTAAAATCCACACATGGTTGGAAAAAATGACAAAAAAACATATAGACTTTAAGCCAGAGATTTTTTTATTAGGGATTGTGCCAGAAACATATAATAGAGAATTGAGATATTTGATTGTGAATGTTTTAACAGCTGCTAGAATTGTGTTTGCTAAAAACTGGAAAAATGAGAAAATACCAACGCAAAATGAAATTATTAAGAAATCATGGAATGTGCTGAAATGAGTAAATTGACATTTGAAATTAGAGAACAAGAAGATAAACAATACTACAAGATATGGGATTTATTTTATCAATGGCTAGATAATAAAACATCAGGCAACTCAGCTGGGATCGTCAGAGCCTTTTGAAAGCATTTTTTTACAACCTCTTCGCCTAAGAGGTTGTAGAAAAAATGGTTTAAAAAGTAAAAAAAAAACATGGCCACGCCCACCCAGTCACATTATCCCTGCTACCAAGCCACGCCCACAGAACCGGTAGTAACAAATTTTAATTTCATCACTGGGTGGGTGGCTGACAGGCCACAACAGATAGGCTGCACCTCACAAAAACTGGGAAGAATGTTTTCAGAAAATGACTGGCTCAACTTATCAGGAGAGCTTTAAACTAAAATTATGGGGGGAGGGTAACCAATCTGTCAGGGTCCCAAGTAATAACCCCAATGAAAGAAAACTCCGAGGCTTGAGTTTCCTCAAAGTTCCATTTTATTAGAGATGTCATATTGGCACATCTGGGAAAATCTGAATCTGAAAGCTTCCAGGTTTTCCCCACCCAAAAGAAAGTTCAAGTCCCTGCCCAACACCCACATGTCCATCACATGGTCAAATCCAAACACCATCCCAACTGGAGATGCCTCCCAGTTCCAGGCATCCAGGTGCAGGGCAAGATGACCTTGACTTTCTGAGAAAGGAATGTTATTATGACTATATATCACTCTGGTTTAAGGGTGAAATGCTCCCGGTTTGGACTGGATCACCCGATCCGGTAACAATGGTGGTGGGTGGTTTGGAGAACCATTAGCAAAAATCCCTGCCCCCCCATGCCCAGCTGAGCCACGCGATCATCAAAGGCTTTTTTTTTACTTTTAAAAGCATTTTTTCTACAACCTCTTCGGCTGAAAAAATGCTTTTAAAAGTAAAAAAAAGAAAAAAACCTCTGATGATTGCGCTGCTCAGCTGGGATCATCAGAGGCTTTTAAAAGCATTTTTTCCTGCAACCTCTTTGGCCAGAGGTTTTAGGAAAAAAAATGCCTTTAAAAGCCTCTGACGATCCCAGCTGAGTTGCCTGATTGTCAGAGGCTTTTAAAAGCATTTTTTAATGCAACCTTTTAAGGTTGTAGAAAAAAATGCTTGTAAAAGTAAAAAAAAAAAGTTGGCCATGTCCACCCAGTCACATTACCCCTCCCCACCAAGCCACGCCCACAGAACCGGTAGTAACAAATTTTACATTTCACCACTGCTCTGGCTCCATACAATCCCCCCTCCCAGTTTCCCACAGTAGTAAATGTGGCAGGCCTGAAGGCCCAATGAAAAAGATGGCTTCCAGGCCTGACACAATCTTTATATCTCCAGGACCTAATTCCAAGCAAAAACCCCTATAAAACAAATCAAATAAGGAGGGATGGGAAGGAAGACAAACGCAAATATCTAATGGAAGACATATGAAGCACACCCAGAGTCAGATATAAAGATCTCAAATGCCTATATACAAATGCACAAAGTTTAGGGAACAAATAGGGTGAACTTGCATTATTAATACATGAAGATACATATGATATAGTTGGAATTACAGAAACTTGGTGGGATGAAACTCATGACTGGAACATACTGATAGAAGGATATAAAATGTTCATATGTAAAAGACTACTATATTGCTACTTAACAATAAATATTTTGTTCACAAGACCTCATGTTCTGAAGTGGTCTTTGCTTTCTAAGAATTTTAAAAGTATGATAAAATATTATTTTGAAGAGAAACATAATGTTCACTAAATTCAAAAGATTACTTGAAAACCCACAGGGCAAATCTGTGACACAATTATGATCATGTACAAAGAATCAACTAGCCTTTTAAAAAAAATAATTTTCAGAGGTTTGCATTTGTTACCTTAAGAATATTGGCTCTCTGCTGGGGGCTTTGGGTTTCAGATTCATCCAAGAGTATTTCTGTTTGATACATCCATGTGGTGATATTAGCAACATTTTGAAAAAATGTTTCCATATGTTTCTGATATGCCTAGAAGTAGGTAAAGAGAAACCAACATATTACTAAACAATTAGGACCAAAGGGAAACAGAAAAAAATGCATTACTACATAAATTATTATATTGTCCAAATACAAAAACTATAAAAGCAGTTCTATGAAATTATTTTAGAACTGCAAAAATAAGGTCTAAATACTGGGTAAAATCAGAAAAAAATTAAAACTTAGTTCTAATTCTTTACAAAGTTACATATAAAGGGAGAGATGAAGCAAAGAGAGCTGTCCATCTATTGCAATGATGTAGACGTTGGGATCCAAAGTGAGCTAAAAAATCAATATAGGTAATCCCCGTGTTATGTGTATTCCCTTAGCGAATGTTCAAAGTTATGCAATCAGTGTTTCCGAACAAGGCCCAAAACTATGAATCTTGCAGTACCACGGCAGTTGTTCGCCCTTATGAACAACCGCAGAGGCTCTGCAACATTCATCCTGCATGTTGCTGACTGAAATGGAGCTTCTGAGGGGTGGATCCATTCCTCAAAAGCCCCGTTCGGTCATCCAGAGGCCTTGCCTGGCAACTTGCTGGCTGAAATGGAGATTCGATGGGGGGGGATCTGCCCCTCAGAAGCCCCTTTTGGCCTGTGAACAGAGCTTTTGAGACTCAGATCTCAGATCTCAGTTTCAGGGCTTCTGAGATCTGAGACTCAGTTCTCAAAAGCCCTGTTCTCCATTTCAGCCTGCAAAGGGCCGGGGGAAGCCCGCAGAGCGTCAGAACCTCAGAGGCCAAATCCCAACCCTAGAGGCTCAAATACGGCCCCCAGAGGCTCCATTTCAGTTTGCAACAGGCCAGGGGAGGCCCGTGGAGGGCCAAACAGAGCACATGAGGCTAGAGAGGAGACTGTTTCTAGATCTTCACAAGGTAAATGACCTGGTGCGGCAGGTTGGGGGAGGAAAAATTTGGGTCGACATGAGGTATCTCAGTGGGTCAGGGAGACCTTGGGTAGCCCTAGGCAGGTGGCCTGTTCCATCGGTAGACCCCCATGGCCTTCCCCACCCTGAAATACCTCATGTGCACTTAATGAGCCTCGCATTTGATTAGTGAATGCATGGGTGAAAGGAGGGAATGATCTCGTTCAAGATACGAGATTCACTCTCGTGAATCCTCTGGTTACAAATGGAATGGGCAGGCTCCATTACATTTGTAACTCGAGGACTACCTGTAGCCACTTTTATTTTTAAAAATTATATTCCTGCAGGGCAAGGAAAGCAGTTTAAGAACTATCCTATAATATTAATTTAGAAAACTTTGAATTTATTACATAATTACTAATATTATTTTTCTAGAATTAATAGAGAAAAGTGTGCAGCAATTTTTAGAATATAGAGATTTTTTTTAAAAAAATAACTTTCTCTGAGTTACAAACACAAAACTGATATCTATCATTGTGATTTTAAAGACATACGTTATAATGTTATATGATGTTATACATGATGTTATAAAATAACATCACAAAGACTTAAATCACTTGGGAACTCTGTCTAAAAATGAAAAAAAAAATAATGTTCAATCTCTGTGATCATGAAAGTAGAGAAGTACTAATTGGTAACTCTTACCAGCAGCAAATTAAACCATTCCTCAACTCGTGAAGTTACTGCAATCCAGTTACTATTGAGAAGGGCGAGTTTATCATTCACCAATCTTTCTTTCTCTTTAAGCACCATCTTCAGTCCCTCTCCCAAGTCAGTGATAATCTTCAGCTGATGCTGTCGTTTTTCAGTCTCTAACTGCGTTCCCTGTGGAAATGAATGAATAACAGTAAATGTGAAGACAATGACTCTAAAATTTGCATTATGCATAACAGTATTGCTACTTATATATTGGGATACTTTGTGTATTAAAATAAATTGAAAGAGAAATAAATCTGCATTAATAGTGAATATAATAATGTAGCACCCTAAAGCACTACATCTAATCAAGCAGCTAATGATAAATATGTTAAGAATTTTTTGATCATGCCTCTAGAAAAATGGCTGTTGTACAGCAACAGCCTTTTTCCTCTCTTGCCAATGATCTGCTGTTTCTGCTGACAAAGCTGCTTCTCTGGCAGTGCTGCTGCCTGGGTCTGAATGGGAGCAGTTAGGAATGACCCAAGATCAGTGGTGGATTGCTACTGGTTCGCCCTGGATCAGGCGAACCAGTAGCGGTGGCAGCAGGAGATTCTGCCCATCCACCCGGATGTTTCTGCGCAGAAGTGGTGCACGCAAGCACGCACGCACCCACAAGCAAACCGGTAGCAACAGGTTTTGAAACTCGCCCCTGCCCAAGATGATTTTTGGATGATTGTGAATCCTCTTGGGAAGGGAGTTTTGAAGATTACAGTTCCCTGTGGGAGCAGTCAGAAAGTCACTGGGCAAATCTGTCTTCCTTTCTAAGTATGCCTGGGTTTTAACTTTCACTTTTTGAATTTATTCTTTCACTTTGCTTTTTATCTTTAAAAGTTGATCACTGTCCTAGTTGAATGCTAATTTATTTCAATCCCCTGCTGGACTCTAGCTGGTTCCCCCCCACTTTGATTTATTTGTGTTTGAATAAATTTTGCTCTCTTTGTAAGGAAACACTGCACGTTTTTAGATGGTGAAGTGTTTTTGTTAATATTGTACTCTCATCGCAGAGTTATTGCATTTTTTGTATTTGCAAAATATTTGGAGTTTATTTCTTTTGAATTTTCTTTTAATCTTGGATCAAAATATCCAGAAAATATATTTCCTAGAAACTTGATTGAAGGGAAAGGTGACAAATTGTTTATTCTTAGAAGGACTGAGTAAGATTGGAGAATGGATTTATTACACTTAACTGGCAATCACGTCTATCTGAACTTTTTGGGAAGATAGACTTACTGTGGAGACTGAATTAGACAAGAAGATGGGAACCACATCACCCCTTTTTCAGTCCTCAGGTACTTCCCTGGGGCTCCAGGATTTTTGAAAGATATGATACAATGGTTCTGAGATAACATCTGCCAGCTCCTTCAGAACTCTGGGATGTAATCTGTCAGGTCCCATGATTTATATTTGTCAAGGTCAGATAGGTGTTCTCTTATCATTTTCTTGCTTATTTTAATTTTTATTTCTAGTTTGTCTTGATGCAAAGAATGAGTTAAACAGCTCTGCTTTCTCCCTACTGCCTGTTACTTCCTTGCTATCTTCTCTCGTTAGTGGACCTACTGTTTCCTTGACTTTTTTCTTGTTATTAATATGTTGAAATAAACTTTTTATTATTATTATTATTCATTCTGAGCCTTTGCTTTCCTGACTTCATCTTTGCATGTTTTTGCCTTAGTTAAGTGTCCCTCCTTCCATTTTTTGTACTTGTCCTTTTTATCTTTCAGTTTGTCAGAGAGATCTTTTTGCAGCCATGTTGGTTTCTTCTTGGTTTTCTTTTTCAATGGTAATGTGCTGGATTGGATTTTTATTATCACATTTTTCAGAGTTTCCCACGCTTCTTGAGTTGTTTTCCCATTTAGGATTTTCATCCATAGAATCTTTCCTAGGCTCTCTCTGAGTTTGTTAAATCAGCTCTTTTAAAGTTTATTATATTTAATTAGACAATAATTTATAGGAGATGCCATTAAGAAACAAATGTGGATATTTGAACCAGGAGGAATGACTCTTAACTTTGGGGATGATTTGGGATAGATAATTTGCAGTGGCAAATTTTCTACAAGTTGATTACAATAACAGTTGGTTAACAGAGGGTTTGAAATTTTAACCCTGTCTTTTTATTATTATTGTTTTTCCTGTTAGCTATTTTGTCATCAATATAGTATATAAATCAGTGGTGGGTTCCAATTTTTTTTACTACCGGTTCTGTGGGCATGGCTTATTTTGTGGGTGTGGCTTGATGGTCATGTGATGGTGCGCATGGCTTGGCGGACATGTGACTGGGTGTATGTGACTGGGTGGTCATGTGACTGGGTGGGCGTGGCTTGGTGATCATGTGACTGGGTGGGCGTAGCTGGTTGGTCATGTGACTGGGTGGGCAAGGCCAACTTGACGTCACTCAGGTCACGGGTTAGGGTTAGGGCTAGGGTTAGGGTTAGGGTGCCTGGCCTCTCCTCGCTTCAAAGGGCCTGAACGAGATACAATTTCCCTGTCTATTTATTTACTACTACTTAACATCCAAAATATACTTTTTAATCCTATGTATATATGTCATATGTGTACATACATATTATATAGTATAGAGTGTGTATAGGCACATGAAAAGATACATTATCTACTATGTATATTGTATGTGTACACACACACACAGCTCTTCTAAAACTATACACATTCAACCTCACTTACTACATTTGGAAAAACACACCCAGAGTCCACTTTCTGCCACACATTTAACTATAACTTCTGTACATTTAGAACATTACACACACCTTCAGATATTCTTCCCTAACTTGCACATGACTGTTAGAGCCAGGAGAGGTCATGGATTGAGTAAAATGTGGTGAAACTTGAAGTGGTTCGGGAATAAAGAGAGGCACAAGCAGGCTAGTGACAACAGCTCTTTAATATACAGTGAGACTTCAGCCAAAACTCAGAGGCTGCAGCCCTCCTTATATACAATCCAGGAGGGACTGTCAGCCAATCAGAAACTTAAGCAGGTTTGAATCTCCCGCTGAAAAGTATCAATACATAACACCCCTCCCTTCCCAGAAGGCACTAATACTCAAATATTTACATAAGTACACACAAAATCTCGCAGGTGCCCTGACCGAGTTCTCGTTCTAGTTGACCTGCGCAGTTCAGTGTTTGGTGGGGTGTTGAGCTGGTCGGAGGGACTTTCTGTCTCTCCTGGCTCCGCCAATGGAACCTCCTGGATTTTGTCCGGGGCATGGTTATCCCCGGTTGGGAGTGGCGACTCGCTGGGGCAGCGCTGGAACCAGGGCTTGTCAGCTAAGTATTCTCTCGAACCCGGGCTTGAGTTAGCTGTTTTGGGAAAGTTGTTGTAGTTAGGTTCGGAGATGTCTAAATTGATATTTGCTTCACCGACTATTCTTTTCCTAAGTTGGTCTATGTGGCGTTTCCAGAGTCTGTCCACCCCTACGTCTACCGTGTATGATTTTGGGCCTGTTATGCCCACTATGGTTCCTGCAACCCATAAGGGTCCGCTGGCATAATTGCGAGCGAACACCGGGGACCCCACCTGGAACTGTCTTAGTCCGGTGGTCTCTCCCTTGAAATTCTCATGTGTATAATTGGGGTGAAGCCTGTCTAACACGCACCGAAGCTTCCTGCCCATGTGGAGTTCGGCTGGGCTTCTCCCTGTGGCCGTGCATGGTATGGCATGCTGGACAGCTAGAAATTGATCTATCCTGGCCTGCCAGTCCCCGTTATCTAGTCTGGACAATGCTTCTTTGGCCGTTCTTAAGAAACGTTCAGCCAAACCATTAGAAGCCGGATGGAACGGGGCCGATAGGGCATGGCGGATGCCCAGTCCAGCCAGGTAGCCCTCAAACAGAGTCGCTGTGAATTGAGGGCCGTTGTCAGATACCAGAGTATCTGGTAGGCCATGGATGGCAAATAGTTTGCGAAGGACTTTGATGACTGCCTCAGCTGTGGTTGAGGGCATTAGTATTATTTCGAGCCATTTTGAAAAGGCATCGACTACGATTAAAAATGTTTGCCCGTGGAAGGGGCCGGCAAAGTCAATATGGATCCTCCCCCATGGCCCTTTTGGTTTCTCCCACTCTTGGATGGGCGCTATCGGGGGATCGGGCCGGGACTCCTGGCAGGGTCTGCACTTCCCCACCCACTCGGATATGACTTGGTCCATGTTGGGCCACCAGACATAACTGCGGGCTAAACTTTTCATTCGGACAATCCCAGGGTGCCCCTCGTGCAGTAACTCCAAGACCCTCATTCTCAGTCTCGTTGGTATTACCACCCTATCACCCCACAACAAACAACCCCCTTGCATAAACAATTCGTTACGTTTGTTAACATAACCCTGGTACTCCCCACCGACCGCCTTGACCGGCCACCCTTTGAGGACCCAACCCATTACAGTACGAATTACAGGGTCCCTAGCAGAGGCTTTCGCCACCTCGCAAGAGGAAATAGGTCCCAGAGTCATAGCGTCGATCAACAGAACGGGGGTCTCCGGCGTGGGGTTGACCAGCAAATCGGGGAGGGGGCAGCGGCTGAGGGTGTCCGCGTGGCCCAAGGTCCGTCCAGGTCGATGGACAAGCTGGTATGAGTAGGCCGATAGGAAAATGGCCCACCTGGTCAACCGTGGGGACAGGGCAGCGGGGGTGGGTTTGTCGCCGGCCAAAAGTCCCAGCAGGGGCCGGTGATCAGTCACAAGTTTGAATTGACAGCCATAGAGGTATTCGTGGAACTTTTTAACCCCCGCAATTGCAGCCAGAGCCTCTCTGTCCAACTGACTATAGTTCCGCTCTGCGCTTGACAGGGTGCGAGAGTAAAACGCAATGGGCGCCTCTAGGCCGTTTGTCAGTCTATGGCCTAGGACGGCACCAACTCCTACGGGGGAGGTGTCACAAACCAATACGAGCGGTAGCACTGAGTTGTATTGGATTAGGAAACTGTCCTCAGATAGAAGTCTCTTTACCGCCTCAAAAGCGGCTGCTTGTGGTTTCCCCCAAACCCATGGTACATTCTTCCCCAATAGTTTGTGTAAGGGATCTGCAACGGTAGCCTTGTCCTTTAATAACATCGAATAGAAATTGAGCAGTCCAAGGAAGGCTTGGAGCTCCGCTTTGGTCTTGGGGGCTGGTGCGTTCTTGATAGTTCTCACTTTGCTTTCGGTAGGGTGGATGCCTGTGCCATCCACCCTGTACTCTAAAAATTCGACTGAGGGGACAGCGATCATGCACTTATTTTTCTTTAATTTAAGTCCCGCTTCCCTAAATCTGGAGAGGACGTTCCTCACTCTGTCCCCCAGCTGGCGTTCATCCTGAGTGCTGATTAAAACATCGTCAAAGTAGGGCACCACCCTCGGGAGCCCTTGCAAAAGGCGCTCCATGGTGCTTTGAAATAGGCCGGGTGCGACGCTCACCCCAAACTGGAGCCTGGTGCATTTGAATGCACCCCTATGAGTTACAATTGTCTGTGCCTCTGCCGTGGCGTTGTCGACTGGTAATTGTTGGTAGGCCTGAGCTAGGTCTAATTTGGCAAAAATTTTGCTGGGCCCCAGGGAGTGTAGTAGATGATGCACGATCGACACTGGATAGGCGCTCGGCTGCAAAGCCTTGTTGATCGTGCACTTGTAGTCAGCGCAAATTCTGATTGAGCCATCAGATTTAACTGGGGTCACTATGGGGGTCTCCCATTTCGCATGGTCAACAGGGACCAACACCCCTTGTTTAATTAATTTGTCCAGTTCCGCATCGATCTTTGGTTTCAATGCGAAGGGCACCCGTCTGGCTTTAAATCTTATTTGGGCTACGTTGGGGTCTAGGTTTAGGGAGATAGGGGTCCCCACATACTTGTCCAACGTGTCCCTGAAGACGTCTTGGAATTCGTTCAGGAGGCTGTCCTTCAGTGATGGCTCGGACATTCGGTGGACGCCAGTGAAACCCATGCCCAGGGCTCGGAACCACCCCATGCCCAGAAGGCTAGGCAGCTGCTTGGTGACGATGGTCAGCGGCAGGTCTTTTTCGAAGTCTCCGTAGGTGACTCAGAACGTGCCCATGCCTTCGAGGGGGACCCGGTTCCCCTGGTAGTCTAGGATGCGCAGTCTTTGTTTGGATAGCTGGTCCTTCCGGAACGACGGCAGGATGGTCTTCAGGGTCGCTCACGACATTATGGAGAGAGCTGATCTGGTGTCAATCTCCATCGAGCACGGCTTGCCATTGATTTTGACCACCGTGCTGACTTTGTCCTCGATCGCCGTGCTGGCCTGGTCTATGTGTATGCTGCAGCCGTCTCGCGGTTCAAATTCGCGCCGTTTCTTCGCGCCTCCTTCTCTCATTGGATGCTTCTGTTGCGTTGATTCTGGTTGGCTGCAGCGCTCACGTGGTTGATGTTTTCTGGGCAGAATGGCTCTACAGACTCGCGCCAAGTGCCCTTTTTTCTCGCAACGCCTGCAAATAGCCTCTCTGTATTTGCAGGACAGTCTATCATGGTGTCCGCCACAGCTGGGGCAGTTTTGCCGGGGGCTGCCTGCGTCTTTTCTCTGGTGCTCTGTTCGGAAGACGTCCTCATCTGACTCGGACTCCGAGCTGGATCCGGCATCTTCCCTGTGCACTGGTGCAGACTTAGGACTGTCCTTGCTGGTCAGCGGATGCTGCAGCGTTTCTGCGGCTTTTGTGGAAGCTTCATGAGCCCTGGCCTCATCTAGGGCTCCAGCAAGCATTAAGTCAGGCTTGGCGAGCAGGTGCCGTTGTAGCCTAATGTCCCGAACACCACAGATTAGTTGCTCAAGCAACGCATCGTCCAAATCCCTATAGTCGCAATGAGTTGCGGCTTTACGCAGGCTCACCATGTAAGTGCTGACCGGTTCTCCGTCTCGCTGTATGCGCTGTCTGAGTTGGTATCGTTGCACGAACTTGGAGGGCACGGGAGTGTAGTGAGCCCGAAGAGTTGCCATCAGGGTGTCCCAGGAGACGATCTGGACCGGCGTTGGCTCACAAAGTGACTCTGCCATCTTGAACACGTCCGGTCCACAGTGGCTTAGGAAGAGGGCTCTCTTCCGATTAGCGGAGAGTCCCTGCATGTCGCTGGCTTCAAGCGAGCACTCAAACCTCGTTAGGTACGAGACCCATTTTTTGCGGGTCGGATCAAAAGGCTTGGGCGGAACGTAGGCAGACATGTTCGGTATGCCTCCTGTAGTTCGCCTCATCGCCTAGCTGAAGCTCGGGGTCTCACTGGTTCGCCTCTTGAGGCCTCTATCCCACCTTCGTCGCCAATGAAGTGGTTCAGGAATAAAGAAAGGCACAAGCAGGCTAGTGACAACAGCTCTTTAATATACAGTGAGACTTCAGCCAAAACTCAGAGGCTGCAGCCCTCCTTATATACAATCCAGGAGGGACTGTCAGCCAATCAGAAACTTAAGCAGGTTTGAATCTCCCGCTGAAAAGGATCAATACATAACAAAACTCACTTAGCAACACTCTTGCTTGGCAACCAAAATTTTGGGCTCAATTCTAGTCATAAGTCAAGGACTATCTCTGCCTTCCTCTGCATGGCAGTCTTCTCCTTTCTGGCAATTTTCCTCTCCATTAGAGGCATCAAAATAATCCAGACAATATAAAGTTTCCCGCTGGAGCAGGGGTTGGACTAGATGGCCTCCAAGGTACCTTCCAGCCCTAGATTGCTGTCCTGTTTCAAAGCGTCTTCTGAAGCTAGGGTTTGTGGTCCTTCCTTCCTCCTCTCTCTCTCTCTCTCTCCCCTTCCTTCCTCTTTCTTTCTTTCTTTCTTTCTTTCTTTCTTTCTTTCTTTCTTTCTTTCTTTCTTTCTTTCCTTCTTCCTTCCTTCCTTTCTCTCTCTCTCTCTTTCATTCTCTCTCTCTCTTTTCTCTCTCTCCCTTACTCTTTCTTTCTTTCTGTCTTTCTTTCTCTCTTTTTCTTTCTCTCTCTCTTTTCTCTCTCTTTCTCCCTTCCTTCCTTCCTCTTTCTTTCTTTCTTTCTTTCTTTCTTTCTTTCTTTCTTTCTTTCTTTCTTTCTTTCTTTCTTTCTTTCTTGTCTCTCCCTTCCTCTTTCTTTCTTTTTCTTTCTTTGTCTTTGTCTTTCTTTCTTTGTCTCTTTTTCTATTTCTCTCTCTCTCTCTCTCTCCCTCCCTCCCTCCCCTTCCTCCTGAAATGCCAGCAAAACCCACCACTTTGCTCCTAAAGTGATCTAGGGCAGGGGTCTCCAACCTTGGCAACTTTTAGACTTTGGATTTCAACTCCCAGAGTTCCTCAGCCAGCAAAGCTGGCTCTCTCTCTCTCACATCGTTTCTCGGCCTGAGCAACAAAGCCCTCCACCCAGACCTTCGGTTTCCGCAGCCCTCCGGGTCACTTGATCCAACCAACAGCCCCTCTGACCACTGCTGTGCCCCCCTGGAATTTCACCCAAGAGCCAAGCAGCAGGGAAGGCAACCCCATTCCCCGCTAGAGGGGCAAAAGGCAGACCTTAGTCCAGCGCTCAGTGGCTGGGTAACCCCGATGCCCAAAGGGCTGCATCAGCCTGCCCTCTGAGACTCCTTTCATCTGCTTTGGGGGCCAATTTCACAGTGAGGACCCCACCACACACACTTTTGAAACATCAGAAGGCCCACTCTCAGGGTGGCACAGTCCAGAAAACCACCCAGCCCCTGCAGCACACAAGCACGGCCAAATAACCTCGGGAAGGGAGTAGGTGTGCTAAGGGCTCCCACGACAAATCGCCGGAGCCTGTCAGGAGAAGGAAGGACAGGCAGGAGGGCACTGGGGGTGGCGCTATCCAGCCAGGTCAAGTGCAGGACCAGGTATTTGTTCTGAGGTTGAAAGGAGGAACCATCTGGGCCTGGAAGAGGATGAATAAGTGATCATGTGACATTGCACTTGACCACTGTAATTGCAGTTCCTATCCCAATAGCTGTTGTAATCTGAGGACTACCTATACTGGGGAAAACTGCATATTGCAGCTGTACTTATAAGGGAAAGCTTTGAAAAGATGAAAACTTATGATTTAAAACAAATGAAATCCAAAGATTTTCTTTTATTCTTGTTCTCGTTTTTTGTTTGACAAATTCTAATAAATAAATAAAAATAAATAAATTGTATCATTTTAATTTAAAATAAACAGAAGTGAAAATAAGGACATAATTGAATAACAGTTTCAAAAAGTATGCTCAATTATTTTGCTATGAAATTCTTTTATTTGCCTAGAGCAGTGATGGCTAACCTTTTCTTGGCTGAGTGCCCAAAGCGTGCATGTGCAAATGCAATACGCGTGCGCCCACTGTGCATGTGCCCTGGTTTCCATGCGTGCACACACCCCTGTGCATGTGCCCTGTCCCCTGCGCATGCATGCCCCCCCGCCCCCCGCCCCCCATGCACGCCCTGCACATGCCCCTCCCCACATGTGTGGCAGAGACCCGACAACCAGCTGCCCGGCGGGAGGTGCACACGCATGCGCGGCGGAGCTGAACTGGGGTGACGGCTTGTGTGCCCACATAGAGGGCGCTGTGTGCCACCTGTGGCACCCGTGCCATAGTTTCACCATCACAGGCCTAGAGCAATATTTCACTAACAATATGACACCTGAAACCTATCACAACATATAGTTTAAAGTTTTGTGTTCTTTTTTTTTGTTTGTCTGGTTTGGTACACAGCATGAAACGTTCAAATCTTGTGATAGTAAAAGACAAAAGCCTAAGTATTTATGGATCAAATCATATGCAGTTTATAATGCTGAAGGAAAACTGTTTTGAGAAAGGGTGATGACTGCAGGGAAAAAATATGTGATTTAAAGGTAAAATAAAAAAGTTTACCTTGCTCCAGGCAAGTTCAGCATCTAAATTGATAGGCACCTCTTCTATTGCTGATCTCTTTGTCAGTTCTGAATCTATCATTGCCAGCCATTCTGTCAGAGCATTCATTTCCTTTCTAAGTTTCCGAGATAATTTCAAACATTTCTCTAATTCTTGCTTTTTCTCTGTTACCTGTGTTAAAAAGGAAAAAAAATTAAAAACCCAATCCACAAATGTCTACCACCCAAACTGCTACTATTACTCAAGTCTACATGCTTGGTTGGAATTTTTCCCTCATTTCCATTTAACCACCAACTTGCTACAATTGTTTGAAAACTGTACCTCTTGAAATATTAATTTTGTTAATTAAGAATTCTATATTTTATTTTTTAAAGATGTTTATGTTTCAGGAACATAGTACATAAAACAGAGAAACACATTATTTCTCTCTAGTATTACTATTTTACTATTATCATTTTTCTTCTTCTTCTTGTGCCATATCCATCATCGGACGTTGGCGATCATGTTGGCAATCCTATTTTTGTCAACAGCCATATGAAAAAGTGCTGCTGAGTTTTGTCCAAACCAGTCCCTAAGATTTTGAAGCCATGACGTCTTCTTCTGCCTGGACCTCATTTGCCTTCAATCTTTCCTTGGAGGATTAAATGAAGGATGCCATATTTTTCTGGGTGTCGCATCACATGTCCAAAAGATTCTAACTTTCGCTTTTTAATGGCTTTGATGATTTCTCTTTGTTTTCCCAGGCGGCTTATCACCTACTCATTTGTGATTTTGTTAACCCAGCTTATACGTAACGGTCATCTGTAAATCTACAATCTGACAAGCCTGATTTTCAGTTTTAGGCTTATGTCGTGACTGCAGAAGACCTTTTTCATTTTGAAGAATGCTGTTTGAGCTTTCTCTATCCTAGTCTTTACTTCACTGATCATGTCCCACCTTTCATGTAAATTAAAACTGAGGTACGTGATCCTTTCAACTTTTTCTAATGGTATTTCTTCTGAATTTATCAGTGGTAAATTAATGGGTTGTTTGCTGACGACCATGATCTTGGTTTTTGAGGTGTTACCATATATACTTGTGTATAAGCTGAGTTTTTCAGCACATTTTTTATGCTGAAAAAGCCCCCCTCGGCTTATACTCAAGTGAGGGTCCCACTTACCTGTTCTCCAGTGCAGTGCGGGTGTTCTCTGGTCTCTCCAACTCCAATGGCATGTGCATATGCGAAGAACAAGGCGGAGATGCCAGCAGCTTTCCTTCAGAGAAAGCTTTCCAGCAGCAGCGGTTGGCTGGGGGCCACTCTGGACCGGCCGCTGTGAAAGGTAAGCAGCCGAACAAAGAGGCAGTGGTGGGGGAGGAAGCAGGCAAGCGGGCCTGGCCACAGGACCGCCAGGAAGGGCGCATGGAAGGCAGGCAAGCATGTCAGGGCCACCCGGCCATAGGGAAGGGAGCTAGCAGCCTACTCCCTTCCCTGCGGCCTGGCATGCTTGCCTGCCTTCCACGTGGCCTTCCCGGCGGTCCCCCATGCCTTTGCCTTCTGAGGTCAGGACACACATGTGGCCTATGATGGGAGATGTGCTGCTTCCGGCCCAGCCCGGCCAGTGGGTGGGTGGGTGGCTGGCCCTTTGGGAAGATGAAGCCGTTGCGATGGGGTTGAGAGGGGCGGCGGCAGCGGTGGAAGGCAGACACCGCAAAAGCCACACAGGAAAAGTTTCGGGGAGTTCTGGGACTCCCTGCCATTGCCGCAGCAGATGCCTGCAGTGGCAAAAGCCGTGCAGGAAAAGTTTCGGGGAGTGCTGCTTGAAGCTCCCGTTTCGACCCCTGCCTTCGCCTGCCACAGCTTGAAGCTCCTTTTTGGGTGCCACTGCTGCTGCTGCTACTGCCACCGCTGCCAGGCATTTTATCTCGGGCCTCCCAGTCTCACTCTCCTAGATTTTGAAGGAGGGAGGGAGAGAGAGAAAGAAAGAAAGCGAGCGAGAGAGAGAGAGAGAGAGAGAGAGAGAGAGAGACAAAGAAAATGAGAGAAAGAGGAAAAAAAGAAAGAGGAAGGGAGAGACAAGAAAGAAAGAGAAAGAGAGAGAGAGAGAAAGAGAGAAAGAAGAGGAAGGGAGAGAGAGAAAAAAGAAAGAATGAAAGAAAAAGAGACCAAAAAAGAGAAAGTGTAAGAAAGGGAGAGGAAGGTAGAGACAAGAAAGAAAGAGAAAAAGAAAGAAAGAGAGGGAGAGACAAGAAAGAGAGAAAGAAAGAAGGAAGAGGGAGGGAGGGAGGGCGGGAGAGAGAGAGAGAGAGAGGGAGAGAGAGAGAGGGGGGGGGAAGAAAGAAAGAAAGAAGAGGAAGGAAGGAACACAAACCCTGGCACTAGATATGGCTTCAGAAGACGTTTTGATACCATATTGTTTTTGTTTATTTATTTATTTTTTTTATTGGTTCAATTTATATGCCGCCCTTCTCCATAGACTCAGGGTGGCTTACAATGCATTAAGCAATAGCCTTCATACTTTTATATATACCTGCTTAGTAGGGCTTTCGCCTCCCCACCCCCAGCGGTGTTCTTTTTTATACAAAGTCAGCTTATTGTCCCCACAATCCGGGTCCTCATTTTACCTACCTCGGAAGGATGGAAGGCTGAGTCAACCTTGAGCCTGGTGAGATTTGAACTCGCAGTAATTGCAGGCAGCTGGTGGCTAAGTGCTACTTAACAGCCCTTTAGTCCGCTGCGCCACCAAGGCTCCTTTTATTGATCCTCTTTTCCACTTACAGAGCTAGTTTACTGTTTTTCTTTGAAATAAATATTCAAAAACATTTAACCTACTGATACCTAAATTAATGTAATTTTATTGGTATCTATTTTTATTTTTGAAATTTACCTGCTGAAATGTAGCTGCTGCATTTCCCACCCTAGGCTTATACTTGAGTCAATAAGTTTTCCCAGTTTTTTGTGGTAAAATTAGGTGCCTCGACTTATATTCAGGTCGGCTTATACTCGAGTATATACGATAAGCTTCAAGCCATATTTTTCAGATATTTCTGAGACTCTGTTGATGAGGAGCTGAAGGTCTTCATGCTTACTGGCAAGCAGAACTGTATCATCAGCATATCTTAAATTATTGATCTGAACACCATTTCACCAGAGAGGGCCTCCTCGGGGTGCCATCAGCCAAACAGTGCAGGCTGGTGACCCCCAGGGGGAGGGCCTTCTCTGTGGTGGCACCTACCCTCTGGAATCAATTGCCTCCAGAGATAAGGAGAATCCAAGACCTCAGTGCCTTCTGCATCATCTGAGTATTTTTGGCCTAGACTCACATTTGCTACCTGATCCAATATAGATTCTTTATGATTTGGATGTCTTTGTCATCCCACTTGTTTCAGGATTTGTAATAGTTTGCTGTGTCTTATTTTATCAAATGCTTTTTCAAAATCAATGAAGCACATGAAAAAACACTGTGATTGACATCTCAACAGTGCTGTACAAGAACTTGAATGCTGAATAGGGCATCTCGTGTACCAAGATTGTTTCTGAAACCAAATTGTATGTTACTTAGACACTCTTCAATTTTGTTGTATATTCTTGTGTGAATTATTCTCAGGAATATTTTCAGGGCATGACTCATTAAGCTTATTGTTCTGTATTCGGTACACTTCTTTGCATTTATTTTTGGGGGGATTGTCACAAAGGTTGATTTTAGCCAATCATTTGGTATCTTTCCTGTTTCATATATTCAATTGAAGAGCTGCAGGAAAAATTTCTTCCCATTGTCTTCCAGCAATTTTAAAATTTCTACTGGGATATTATCAGGTTGTGTGGCTTTTCTTGTGTTTGCTATTTTTCTTGTGTGTTCAACCTCCTCCATAGTGATGTTTGGTCCAGTTGTTATACTTCCCATATCAATATCATCCCTAGTGTCCTCAAAAAGGTTCTTCAATGGGACTTCCGGTGGCACCGCAGGCGTCGACGGCAGCTCCTCTTGGAGCGCTAGCCCCTCGATCTCGTCAAAGCCGCTAGAACAGCGAAAATCAGCTGTCAAGCGGCTTGGAAATTTTCCCCTTGGGAAAAGAGGGGAAAGAGAGCAGCCAGGCTTGAGTAGAGCTCCCCAAGAGTCCCAGGAATAACTCTTGGGGCTTGAAGGGTGAGAGCTCCCTGGAAGCCTGACACAAGCTCTGGACCCGGGATGCTTCTGCCTTTAGCAGAACAAGACACCGCGACCATCCCTGCAACAATTTAACAACATTTTGGATACAAAAGCAGGCAGAGTGAAGTCAGGAGGGACTCTAACTGCAAGTATTAAACTTTAACTCCTGTGTATTGAACACTTCCTTCTTGATTGCTGTGGAAAGAAAGTGAAAGGAAATGGCACCGAGTCTTAATTGGGCGTGGTAACGAAAGTTAACTCTAAAGTTCTCCTCTGCGCTGACAGTCTTTGCTGACAATAAACGGAATTTGTTTTAACAGAAAGAAGAATTAAATTGGACTGTAGATAAATTCAAACTTACTGAGGACTGGAAACTAATTGGAAATTGAGCTAATTTCCGGGATTTTGTTCTGGCTGTTGTAAAAGTTTTAATTTGGAACTGAAAATTGGAAAATGGCTTTCAAGCAAATAAAAACTGCTGGGGCCAAAATTACTGTGAGTTCTCCTGTTCCACCACCCAAACCGCAATCTCTGACAGTTCCAGTAGAACCACAAGTTTTAACTCTGGAAGCCTTGCAGCAAGCTTTAAAGCTGCAAGCCTTTACTTTAGAAGAAAAAATTACTTCTGCTTTTGATGAAAAAATGAAAGAGGTGACTGATAAAATGAACGAAGTAACTGGAGAAATGACAGAAATCAAAGATGTAATTCAAGCTCGAAATAAGGAAATTAGAGAAGAGATTATTTTTTGCATTTCAAGGTTTGGCAAGCCACATTGAAGGGTTAGATGAAAGATTAGAGGAAATTAATCAATCAAACGTGAATTTGGAGAATAAAATGGGAGAGGTTCCGACACAGATGGAAAAAGCAGACTCAGAGGTGATGATGATACAATATAGATCAATGGAATTTGCCATAAGAGTAAGAGGTCTGAAAGAAAATACCCAAGAGAATTTGGGAGAGATCTTTGCAGAAGCCTTTGTACAGATAACTGAAGAAAGAAAGGAGGATCTGGATTGGCAAATTGATAAAATGTATCGTGTTAA